ACAGAGAATTTACGAATGTATTTAGGAATTTGACGAATTAGCATCTAGAACTGTCTGTCACCCGCCTCTCTCTCTCTCTCTCTCTCTATCTATTTTGTCTCCTCTCTCTCTATTGCCCACTCATTTGGCCACACTCTCTTCGGTGGCCTTCAGAAACAGCAACAGCAACAGCAGGAGGAATGAATGCATCTCAACAAGTGTGCCTGCTCCACGCATTTGGCGGCATTATTGGCGTCTGGCATTTATTTGGTTTTTATTCTGCTGTTTTCTCAACTTTTTGTTGCTGCTGCTGCTGCTGATTTTCTGTTTTATTTTGGTTATTTATAAATATGCTTAATAATTTTAAAATGAAACGAAAAGCACACACAGCCAGCCACCCACCCGGCAGAACAGAGCGAACAGAGCGAAGAGAGATGGTTGCCCTAGACTTGGACTTGGACTTGTTGGTTCTGCTGCTGCTGCTGCTGCTGTCGCCAACGTTTAAATGCCCTTTCATCGGGTACCACGATGTTTACCAAATATTCGCAACGAATCTCAAACACAGGGACGGGACCTCATCGCTTCATCACAAAGCTGCCGTAGAAACGATCGGTCCAAACACAAGTTTCGTCTGTACAGCTCAGACAAAGCAAATGAAAGTCTTATATTTAGTTGAATTATATTACAGCTGCGTTGTAAGAGATATTTTCCTTGCTAAAGATACTGTAGAAAAAAGGCTCCACAAGCCATGTATCATACGACCATATCATACACATATGTATGTATGTATGTATGTACATACTATATGTGACATGGTAAGGATAAAGTCGCAAAGTGTATCAAAATCGATGATAGCCTTCTTTAATTTTTGTCGTTTCAGGTGGGCGGACCTGGTGACGGATGCCGGCCCAAGAATCAACATGTACATACATACATACAACAGAAATAAAACCTTTTTTATAAGTTTCTGTTTCTGTTTCATTTTTTTGCAATTTGATTTTACTGGCATGATACGCACACGCACAACAACAACAACAAAAAATGTATTTAAAAAAAATTGGTTATTTTGTATATAGTGTGGTTTTTTGTCACCTTTTTTAGTGGATTTTGTTTGGTTTTATGCGCGGTGGTGGTGCGGTTTTGAAAAACGCGCGCGATTCTAGCAGAGCGCACTATTAAAGACGCGTGAAAAAAGGCACTCGCATTCTGCTCGAGGTGTACATGTGTATGTATGTATCTATGGCTACGTATATGTATATCTGCTAAATGTACATATGTACTATAACTTTTCTATGATTTAAAACTATACTTTTCAGCCGTTTATAATGCTGATTTAGTCGCGTGTCGCGTCTGCGACGTCGTCTGGTCAACTGAATTAAGAACGGGACGGGTTCGCGGCCGCGGCCGAGGCCGAGGCAGCCTCTGCGATTCGTCTAGCCGAGTGGGCAACTTCGTCAGACTCTGCGCTGCGTCGCTGATTTTGCTGCTCTGCTGCTGCTGCTGTTGCTGCTGGTGCTGTTGTTTTACTGTTGCTTCTATGCTGCACTGCAAATTGTTGCTGGCGTGCGGAAATCACGAAAATTAGGCGACCCCGATGGACGGACGGACGGACGGGATGGGACGCGACGCAACGCAACGCAACGCATTGAGCTCCCCAGATTGTCACTTTGGAGGCGTGATTGTCGTTCCGGGCGGAGGAAAAGGTTGTGCGGCGAATAATCAACCACCCACCCGCCGGCAGGCCATTAAAAGCAATTTGTTGACAGTGACACACAAAAGTGGACGCACACAAAGTGTGAGAGTGAGGCGCCCAGCGAAGCAAACAAGAACAAATCGGAGCGAAAATGATAACGTGGTAGGAGGAACATGACAGACAATATGACATGACATGGCGTCATCGAAGTGACCACAATCCATCTTGATTGCTTTTGCTGTAATAGATCCACTGGACAATGCACCAGCCACAGTGGACGTTCCAGTGGACTACCAGACATTTTTGATAATTCCTTTCATATGTCGATTTTAAAATGTCAAACACTGACTGGTAACACTCCCGCCCGATGCAAACCACTGCCAAAATCGTATACTTGTGCCCCCCCACCCACTGGGACTCTTTTTTGGCTCCCTACTGAATCTATCACAGGGTTCCTTCTCGTCTGTTCTGAGTCCTTCTCACTGGCTCGCTAATTCCACGATTGGAAGACTCTGGAAATTGGCACATCACTGGAACAGGTACAATGCGTGTGTTTGGGTTTGTGCAAGCAAGTGGGCAGGTACATACATACATACAGATGTACATATATACCATATATGTAGGTATGTTTGCATATTTCACTGGTCATCTCATTCATTGCATCGCCAGTGTCTCCTCCGTACATCCGCTGAAAATGCGAGCGTGTGTGCGTGTGTGCGTGTGGAGGCACGAAGATTTCCGCTGCAGTTTGACATTTTGCAGAGTCGGGTCAGATAAGACGCAGATTTGAACAGCCGAGCAGACACACGCACACACACGCACACACACGCACACACACGCACACACACGCACACACACGCACACACCACACACACATGTATGTCGATATGTAAACGGAGGATGATCGTGGATGCATGTCCAGACAGATGGCGTGCTGGCGCCCGCAAGGGGCAGAGCATGCAATTTTCCAGCCACAGACGAGAAACGCAAAAATTGAAATGTGTGTCAACAAATTGCACAAATTATCAGCAGTTGTGGTACAGTTAGGAGCCACTCCAGGGGCAGAAGGGAGGCGGCACATGCAGCGAGAGATGCGAGTAGTGTACTTGACACGAACTCGGATACATCATACGTATTACGTGCTCATATTCATACGTATGTATGTATATATGATGTATGTAGGTGGGCGGTATCACAATCCATCAGCATGACAATGGGCTAATTACAGTTCATCCAACGATTGTCGACGGCCTCCGCTCTCTCTCTCTCCCTCTCTCTCCTCTTAGAAGTCGACTCTAAGAGGGCCCTCTTTGACCGGTTTATTAGACTGAGCATCACCAACAGAGGAGTGGAGTGGACTTCCATACTAAATCTCAGCCACTGTCCATGTGTATATGGTATGAGTATGTGGGCGGGCGGCCACTGTTGAAGATCCCCAAATAAGCTGCAAGTTAAATGGAATGGGCTGGACTGAAAGTCCAGCGCTGAGGGGAGGATTGGGTAAAGGAACCCAAAAATACTTGACTAGTTAAGCTAACCCACTCACCCACTGTGCTTGGTTTTATAGCTCCCTATCGGGAGAGTACTGTTTGCCATATATTTACATAAATACATATGAATGTATGCATACATATATGTATGTATTTAAGTGTGTAGGTGGAATGCCAAGCCACCTGCCCATCAATGGCTATGAGCCGTACCCAATCGAATCGTTTTCGTTTTATTTTTCATAGGTGCGAATGCAGTCAGCAGCAGCCGATGCGATCCCAGGAAAAAAACATTTATCAATAAATTTGGTGCGTTGGCTGATGTCGGATTCCACTTCCACTTCCACGCCGACGTGATGACAAAATCATTTGTGACGAATGCTCAACGGGGTGAGCGTCAGCTGGGTGGGAAACAACTCGATCAGCACTTGCCACTAGTCCCCTTCATCAATTGTAGTATCTGCATTGACCAGACCACTTTTGTGGAAAGGCAGTGTGGAGTGGGGGGGGCACTTAGCACACTCATCAATTGGCTGGGGAAATGTTTTCTCTTCTGTTTCTTGCTGTTTGGTTGTTCATTTTTTTTTTTAAGTGTTCCCCCCATATTGTTGCACTTTCATGTGGCATAGCCCCACCCAATCATTACACCCTTCCTCCCTCATTGCTCACTATAAGCCAGGCCAGGCCATGCTCCCGCCCTCAATCATCCTGCAACTATTTTCAGACTGTCTGACACACATTATGATGGGGGAAACGCAAGAGGGGCCGAGGCAGTGTGAGATTGAGAAGAAGGGAGGAGTGGAGTGCAGAGGGATGCTAAAGTGTTGGAAGGGGATTTGTGGTAGGGGCTGGAGCAGGGGCAGCGCCGTAGTTTGTTTACTTTGCAATGTTTCGGCTTCTTGTGAGCTGCTTTACAGCTCACAGTATGTGACCCCCTCTAACCGCACACTTCCCCACCCCCACACCCCCATTCACACACTTCTCACCCTCCTTAACCAAAATACAAAATACAAAAAATTTCCCCTGTTGTTTTTCCTCTTCTTTGCATTTCCTTTTTCATCTTTGATGGATTGTTTTGCGGTCCATTGAAATCGACAAAACTTTAAGTTTGAACATACACACGAAAATAGAACCATCCGAAAACCAAAAAAATTGCCATTTGGGAGGTTGGGAGGTTGGGGGGTGCTCTACTATTCTCTACTATTCTGAACTACATGTATGTATGTATACACCTACTACACCTAATCGGATGTAAATGTAAACAATATTTAAACAATCTGATCTTTGATTACCTTGAATCCGTTTGAAAGAGAATTCAACTTTATTTTTTGGTTTCTTTTCTTACGCTGCAGATGTAAACATTTTCGGTTTGAATCGTGATTTTGGTTAGCTATTAAAAAGAGCTATTCGTCGGTTCTAAAAAGAGCATACATATACAAGTATGTATATGTATGAATGTACATGTGTATGTACTTATATAGTATGTATTTAGGTGTTCCAATCTGATCTGATTATGGTCAGAGCAATTTTCTTTTATTTTAATCTCTTTCCATAAAATCTTTGCTCTTTTACAATAATCTAAATTCTGTGGTTCAAGAATGCTTTGCCTCATTTCGAACCATACCAGAATCCCAAAGAAATATTCATAAATCTACTAAACTAATTTTTTGTCGTAAAATTTGATTCAATTCTTCATCTGCGGATATTCGTCATATTTCGTAGAAATATTTCTAGAATATGTTTTAGCTCTTGTTTTGAACACTTTGTAACTCCAAACTGTGCTTAATTATTTTAATTTTATTTATGTATATACATATGTATGTATGTAGTTCTGGACTTACGATTGCAGTGTCGATAGGTTTGTGGCTGAGGCTCCAACGCCGCATGCCGTGGAATGCATTGTGCAACTTTCCTCTTTTTTTCTTTCTTATTTTTTGGCTCTTTATCTTTCTCTCCTTTGCTGTCAGCCGCGTTGCTGCGACAGACGCACAATCCAAAAAAAAAATTATTAAAAATTGTTTATGCAAATGCACACACCAAAAAAAATATATATGTATGTATATGTATATCAATGATGAATGAACAGGATGAGGATTGAACACGGCTTGGATTTGGCTGGAACTGAGTTCCTTACTGGACTGGTTCGTTGTGGCGCGGTTCGGTTCGGTTTGGCTCGGCTCGGTTTGGTTTAGAAGTTGCGCATGCCTTGAGAGACTTCTGCAAGAGTTGCGTCTGGTGGCGGCGGCATTCGCGACGTTCGGTTGCTGACTGAACTCTCTATTACCGCCGAGGATGCCGCTCACACACCAACAGGGGTCCGCCGCGGGCGCAGCAGCCGCGCAGCAACAGCGCCGCTGGTTGTGGCAGAGGATGACGTTGCCGCTCACATACGAAACCATTCCATGGAATGAGATGCCACCTCATATCCACATCCACATCCAAATCCAAATCTATATCTATATCCAAATCCACCACGTGGGATGGGCAATTGTTGCTGCTGCTACTCGTAGTATGGCTGTTCTTCCCTCAGCATAAACATTGTACACATTCGAGTACTAGTCGTACTACACGAACATGTGCGTAAATATATACATATATGTACATATGTATGCATGGGCACTGTACAGTGCGGGATGGCTCTGTAGGGCAGGTGATAAATTTAAGTTAAATAAGGAATGGAAATTGGAAATAAATGGAAATAACTAATACGTTGCCGGAAGATCAAATGTAAAAGCGAAATTTAATGCAAGAGTATTCAAGAGGAGACGGTCACGCTGTTGGTTTCTGGTTCGAATGAATCACAGACCGCTATAGCATATATGCCCACCCACAAATCCGAGGGAAACCATGACCAAAGCAACTACAGGGCAATGAAAGTAAAACGGCCTGGCCGACAGACAGACAATAATATATGGCCAGAGACATTGATTATATAGACAGGCAGACAGATCGAAAATAGCACAACGTCTACGCAAAGGAAAGTAAAATACAGAGAGCAGATTCAATATTTATTTTAATATCCAAGGGAAGGTACTAGCCATTTATTTATTAACACTTAACACAGAAGAACTTGCTTTTATTTCTATGGTATCTACATATGAGATACTTTTATCTAATTGGCAGCTGCTAAGAGCCCGAGTGAGATTTGTGGATAGCCACCAAGGCCACTGGCGGCTTTAAAGATCGATTTGGTTCCTGGAAGGGAACGAACAGGTCATCGCCTTCTCATCCCCTTTTTGTCTACGGCCCTGGCAAGAACTAGTACCGGCACTTGTTTGTTTACACTCTATCGCAGCGATCGGAGTCTCCCCTCTCTGCCTGCTCTCGGAAAAACAGAATCCCAAATGGAAAAATCGAAAATCGAAAGCGGAAAAAATATAGGAAAGCGCTATGTGAGATATTCCAGCTGGCCGTGTAATAAAGCGCAGCGGGTAGGCAACGGGGAAGGGTGGGTGGCTGCGGCTGCGGCTGCGGCTCCCCCTCAGAATTTATGCCTATGCTGCCATTGCCATGCGGCGGAGGAGGCACTTATGTACTGGGAGCTATGTGAGATGTGAAGTGAAGAAGTCGCAGAAGCAGACACTTGCCCACTTGCCCACTTGTCCACTTGACATTGACGCGGCATGTCGCACTAAATAAGGAGAGCAGAGCAGAGGAGAGGAGAGAAGACCCCAGTTGAGTTGTGGGACTTGGCCCTAAAATCTCCTCCCAGACAGCTCGTAAAAATCTATCCCACAGATACATGGACAAGGCGACGTGACTGAATCGAAGGAGTGACATCAGTGGCGAGCTTCAGACCCGAATATTATTCCTCGTTTCATGTTTGAAATTCGTTAGACAAAAACCGAAAAACCGAACCGAATTGACCGATACGAAAGTTGTCCTTCAATTCATTTTCAATTGGCACACAATACGCCACACGGAATTGGCCTAAGCGAACCCTGGATACCCTATGAAGCGTGAAAGTAGTCAAAGATTGATGGATTGCCATATCTGGATGACTGTATTTCCCGGATCTGACTTAAGCTGAAGCTTAAGCTGAAGCTGTTTTAGTCTTCATTTATTTTAGTATTTGCCAGCTGTGTTCAAGGTCTGCTGAGGCAGTGCCAGTGGTCCGCCCGTAAATCCTCTGAATCAGTCGAGTGACTTTGCTTGCCTAGTAGTGGCAGCAAACGGACCAAAGTATCAATTAAAATTGGAGTCGCGTGTCGATTAGCGCCATTATCGGATAGGTAACCGGAATCGCTGTGGGCGCAGTCTGTGCTTCCGGTGCAACGTCAACGTTTCCTCCGCCTCCCCTTGACGCTTCTGCCTCTGCCTCTGCCCCAAATCACGGCACCGAACGACGGACCCGTTTGTTGGCCTCTCTCTGTTTCTTTTCCTCCAGCCCCAGGCGAAGCCTTTGCTTTATTTATTGCTTTCCGCTGGCTCACGTCTGACCCATTTTTCCGGCCATTCAACTTTGAGCCATGCCCACAAATCAATAGTCAACGCCCTCATCCTAGTCCAGGTACGGATAGACGGGCGGCTCCGACCCGGAGTCCGCTGGCCGAACGCGCAATGTCTGCCAAAGATTCTGCTTCTGGCGCGCCTTCATCTGCCGCTGCTGGAGCTCGCTGTAGGCAGGTGGCAGCATGCGGCGTCTGCGAAGTCTTCCTTGGAGCTGCTTGGCAGGGGCCCGAATGGGCGTCAGCCAGCGGAGATGCTCGAGGCGCCGCCGGCGACGTTGGTGCAGCGTTCGCGATGCGCAGTACGGACGGACGGTGATGTAGTAGACGATCTCGATCACCGAGAATATGCTGAATCCCATAAAGAGGCCCAGCAGGCCGCCAGTGTTTGCTGAAATGGAGCAGGAGGAGTAGAAGGAGTAGAAGGAGGAGGAGGAGGTCTTGGTATAGAACTTGGGGAACGGGCTGCTCCCACTTACAGAGGAATTCCGTGAAGCCAAACATCTCGGACTTGGTGGTGCTGCGAAAGGTGTTGGTCATATAGTAGAAGTGCAGAATGGACAGCTCGCTGGCATTGCTGTACTCGCCCTTGAAGATGTACTCGGGCAGGTCCTCGCCGGACTGGAACCTCGGATCCGACACAATCGACGAGGTGGACAGGGTGGCCTTGTAGGTCAGCTCAAAGCAGCCGGGCCAGCAGCTCTCGCAGGAGAGGTTCGTCAGCGAGGACTCGATCTCCGTCTGGACGCGGTTCGTGCAGATGTTGTCGTTCGGCCCACAGACCCGGGCAGCCGGATCGATCCGGGGAAGGTAGTAGAGGACGCAGTTGCACTCGCGGAGCAGCAGCTTGGCCTCGCACTCCAGCTCGCAGTTCTTGCGGGAGTAGGTGCGGTAGTAGGCCAGATCGTTCTCGTCCGAGAAGAGGCAGCGCCTTACCGACCTCTTGATGGATCTAATTGTGGGCAGAGCATCCTCGTACACGGGCTCAATGGGTATCCTCGCCTCCCTTCCCGCCGTCACAATGAGGCCATAGTTGCTGACCTTGGGCAGCTCGGCGGGATTGTGGACGAGCACCTTAAAGCCCACGCTCATGGACTTGGTGCAGTAATACTCAGCTATCGAAGCATTGAGCACCACAGTGAGCCCCATGCGAATCCCGGTGCCGCCCGAGGTCCGGGGATAGAAGAACTCGGGCAGCTTCTTGGCGTAGCCGCGTTCCGCGGTCCAGTCGATGGCCTCGTACCGGCCGTTCTGCTGGGGCGGCTCCAGCCGGATATCGTCGCTGTAGTTGCGTATCAGATACGAGGGGTCCAGGGCATTAAAGTTGCAGCACAAGCCATCGTCGGTGAGGATCGAGTTAAAGAGCATGGAGCACTGCTCCTGGCGCGAACCGAAACTGCAGTAGAGCAGCATCTCGTCGCAAGGCTGGGCCACATCCAACAGTATCGCCTTGAAGTACTTCCAGGTGCCGATGTAGGAGATGGTCAGGTCTCCGCCCTGGTCGCAGAGGCCCATCAGCAGCGAGTAGTTGCTGCTGGAGCGCGAGATGCGCTGCACGCGGCTGAGCAGGGCCTGGTTCAAGTTGCAGATGGTAATCGCCGGGAAGGGCATGTTGCTGGTGAGCTTCTGCTTGGCGCTCGTCGAGATAATGATGGGCGAGGCGCTCCACTTGACGTACACGTTCGATATAAAGAAACCCGACAGGATCACCACCAGAACGAAGGCGATCCCAAAGAAGACGCTGAAATTTAAATCGAAAAATATCTCGAAATGCAATTGTGCAATTGACAATCACTCACCGCTCTGGAATAGTAATGCTCTCCTCGGCGATGTACTTGAGCCCGTGCAGAGTGCTGTTTTTAAGGTAGTAGACAATGCTCCGCTTGACGGCTGCGCTGCTGCACATGGTCTCATCGTCCTCATCATTATTGCTGGAGGATAAGCTGAGGCGCCGCCTGCTGTCCGTCAATGCCTTCATGATGTACTAACCAGGGACAGCGACGACCCAGTGCATTTATAGCAGTTCAGGAGCTGCACTGGCACTGGCACTGGCACTTGCAATTTCAATTCCATTCCCATTCCGTACTGCAAGTCCGGTCATCAGCGCTAATCATATTGGCTCTGGGCAAACACCGACGACCATTTGGCAGCATTAACTGCCAAATTGAATGTCCCAGCCATGCAGAAGAATATGGCGGGGCTACCAGCTACCAGAAAACCAGAAAAAGCAAATGTTTGTCAACCATAAAGTCGGACGCGCTGAATCCCATCACCAAAGGTCGAAAATCAAAGCAATCTGATTTGCTCTCTATAAACACAGAAAATACTGTCTGTTACGGTTCCAGAACCGAACGACAGCATAAACAAAACTCCCACCTGCGTGCATTTCCCTTTCTGTGTTGTTACAGAACTCCAACAAAAATTAAATTCGAACATGAAAGTGAAAAGATGGAGGCCCTCGACTTTGGTATATACATATATATGTACATACATACATACATACATACATATGTATATATACCATTGTACATACCAATGGTAGACTTGGAATTGGGTACTCTACGAGTACTGGGCATACAAGAGATTGGCTATCATTTGGAAATCGTTTTGCAAGTTATTATTACTCATCCATTTAAAATCCAAGTTTGCATATTCATGGGGGATCATTTAATGAACTTCTTTCATAAGGCAGTCAGGAACTTCATAAATAATTTCAATCAACTTGATTGTTTCCTTGACTCTAACTTATCCTATCATCTATGTGTTTCCATTTCTTCTCGTTTTATGTTCAAATCCGTGCCTTCTTTTTCAATAAAGTACTCTATAAAGTATGTATGTATGTACATGCATATAAAATGGTAATTTGACCTTACAAACTCTAGCATTTATCTTAAAAAATATCAAGGGAGTCTTAAATATAGCCAAAAGAGCTAGCTAATTCGGATTAAATTGGAAAAAGTCCACTTTGAGATCAAGAATGGCTGCTGCATTTGGCGTTTCCTTCATGCTTAGCGCCTCCACGGCGTTGTCGCTGGCATGATCATACCCATGGTCTAAGGTGGGCGGTGCCCCTGCCACTGGGGGCTGCATCAGGTCGCTCACATTTCTCAGCAGGCTCTCCTCGGACGGTGGCAAAAGTTTTCCGCCCGCTGACAGATTCAAGCGCTGGGCTGCCTCATCAGTGAGCGTGTCATCCAGTGACATGCTTAGTCCGGTGTAGTCGACCAGGTTACGCCCCCCGCCCACAACTGGCCCTGCGTGCGACAATTGTTCTGGCTCCGGTGTGGGTGCCTGTGCTGACTCCATCGCTGACATGTCCAAGGCATATTGGCCCTCGGGTATTCCCAGGACGCGGGCAATACGCGCATTTACAAAATGCAGGCCGGAAGTATTGCGTATGAGACGTGTGCTCCGCAGCTGCAGCTGAACCACAAAGTCATTCAACTCGTGCAAGAAGAGATCGGCTCGCTGTTCCTCGCTAAGGTGGGAGTGACGCTGCAGTTTGGTGGTTAGAAGTCCGAACAAGGACGGCTGAAGGGGCTGGGACGCAGATTGAGCTGGCTGATTCTGATGCGGGGGCTGCGACTGATCTGATGGGCGTGGCATGTGCTCGGGAAACTTGACAAAATGACGCTGCATGAGGCGGCCCAGGAAGATTTTGTTGCAGCCTGGGCAAATTGCGTTCTTGGGCACAGATCGTTGACTGACGGCAACCTCAACGTGCGAGTTCTTTGGAGCTGGCATCGGAGCGTAATAGTCCTTGTCCCGTAGGTCAGCCACCAGCGCTTCCAGAAGCTGGGCGGATGTTGGCTCTGAGGCTATGCCAGTTGGAACTGGCGCTGTTTGCGGCATCGAGGGACGCACCAGACGGCCGGAACGAGTACGATGTGTGCCCTCAGCTGGCACTGCCGGCTGTGGCAGAGGTGTCGGCTTCCCGAGCGACACAGCAGCTGAGGTGGTAGTTGGTGTAGATATGCGTTTTGGTGGGCGACCAACTTTAAGAGGAATGTGTTTGATCTCCGCTGGGCGCATTCCCATGCCGATGGGATCTAGGCAGCGATAGATGGTCATCTGATTGGTCACGGAATCTGTGCGTATCACTTCGTTCCGCTTGCTGGCATTGAAAATTAGCAAATTAGCAAAGTTGTCCAAAATGCAAGGCATTTACTTACCGATCAATAACTATGTGGTCATCTTTAGAAAGCTTGTATAGGTTGTAGGCCAGCTTTGCGAGAGCATCACAGTCCTGGTTGGCCACGTTGATTAGCTCGGGGGCTTGAGGGCTAAACTCAAAGCGTTCCTGCGAGGAGATTCGCTCATGCTGCTCGTTCTCCATCTTTTAGTCTAGCTGCATCGCTAGTGCGGTATACAGCTGGTCCTCCGGCAGATCATTTGCACTTTTCAATCATGTTCATGTTCTTTGCGTGCAACGGAACCCAAATTAGCAGTTAACAGTTAGGTTAGATTTGTGCTGTCACTTTTTGCATTATGCACAATCATACAATTTGTTTTGGACATCTGCTGCGGGCACATGAGAGAACGAACGGAATAGCTGTGATGGTGGGTGTATCGATACGATACGTGGAAGCAACAATACCATATATCGATAAGAGGTTTGAACGGACGAACAAAAAACCTTGCGTATCCACTAGCTTAGGTAGCTTCCGTAATCATAATTTTGACTGGAACAACCTTTAATAGGAAACTATAAAATAAATTAAGCGATTTGCACATTAGAATAGTGCATTTCGTACTGCCGATAATTTCCCGCACACTATCGATATCACCACCACTCCTTGAGCACCAACCTCACTTGCTCGCGCAGCGTCAGAGCAAAAAAAAAATAGCCGTGTCGGCGAATTTGCAGGCAAGAGCACAAAAAAACTACTCTTTTTTTTGCCCTTTGCATAGCGGCTGGAGTACACGCACCGCACTTATTTTGGTTATACAATTTTGCCGGATTGACGTTCGCAGCTGGCCCTCGTCACCGCCCCGCGCCATCCGTTAAACGCCAGCGCATTCGTATTGTTGTTATTGTGCGTGTGTTTTTGCATTTTGGCCGAAATGTCGAAGAACAAGCTGAACCTGGTGCTGCCGCCGGTTAACACGGAGGCAACTGTTGCCGCCGCACAAGTGGCTCCAACGCCGCCATTTAAGACACCATCGGGCACAGAGTAAATATGAAATTAATTTCTAATTAATTCTAATTCCCAACATTTCTCGCACAAATCGCAGTTTTCATTTGTCAACAGTGGCGAGCGAATGCTCGACTACTTCATACTGTATGCCCAGCACTCATTACGGGGATATTAGGTAACGTTTGCGATATAATGGTGTTGTTTGAAGTGATTTACGATGGAAGAGATTGTCGCACTTAAACGAACAAATGACAGGGCAGTTACAGCTGAAATCGTGTGTGTTTAAATGATCGATTTGAGCAACTAATCTACCCGAAGCGGGTGCTGGGTATGAACAGTTGGCCGGGTCTGTTTTGAAATGGTATCGGTGGGTGTGTGCTGCTGTTGTTGGCGATGTCGTTGTCATTTTTAACATATCGCACACCCACACACCTACAACCAAAAGCACGAAGCCACCCACAACAATGTGGAGCTTTGGATAAGAGACAAGGATATATTAGGGATGGCACAGGGTACACTCATGCAAGGTAAGGCCGGGTCATACTCTTCTCCGGGTAGCATTAGACACACTTTCTCGCTCTCTGTCATGCTGCGACACATACACAAATGCATCTGAATGCGATTATGCTACCCAAAAAGAGGACCGCTGACTTTGATTACCTTGTATGAGTGCATACCCTGGCCTTGCATTCACCCCTTTCCCCTCCATCGCATCCCATCCCATCCAACCCCTCTCTCTTAGCTATACTTTTCGTTTTTGTTCCGCAAAAATTCATTAAAAAGTTAAATTAAAGAACACACAGCTTGCTGGGAAAGCCAAAAACGAGCATTGATGCATTAACTGAGACTCTAGAAGGCCTGGACATGGACGACACGGAGCGCAAGCGGATAAAGGTGTTCCTCAGCCAGAAGGAGAAGATTGGCGAACTTTCCGACGAGGACCTCGAGAAGCTGGGCGAACTGGGCTCTGGAAACGGCGGCGTTGTCATGAAAGTCCGACACACTCACACAAACCTGATAATGGCGAGGAAACTGATTCATCTGGAGGTGAAGCCGGCCATCAAGAAGCAAATCCTACGCGAACTAAAGGTCCTACACGAGTGCAACTTCCCACACATTGTCGGCTTCTACGGCGCCTTCTACAGCGACGGTGAGATTAGCATATGCATGGAGTACATGGACGGCGGCTCACTCGATCTCATACTGAAGCGGGCCGGTAGAATACCTGAGTCGATCCTGGGACGCATCACGCTCGCCGTTCTGAAAGGCCTCAGCTACCTGCGGGACAAGCACGCTATCATCCACCGGGATGTGAAGCCGAGCAACATCCTGGTCAATAGCAGCGGAGAGATAAAGATCTGTGATTTCGGAGTGTCGGGCCAGCTGATTGACTCAATGGCCAACTCGTTTGTGGGCACACGCAGCTACATGTCAGTGAGTGTCCCTTGCCTAAATGTCATCCACTTCCCTCTACTCTACTTTTCTGTTGCAGCCGGAACGCCTGCAGGGCACTCATTACTCAGTGCAGTCGGACATTTGGTCGCTGGGACTGTCGCTGGTGGAGATGGCCATCGGCATGTATCCCATACCGCCGCCAAATAACGCCACTTTAGAGTCGATCTTTGCCGACAAAAGCGAGGATAGCAATCAGCCCGTAGATGAGCCAAGGGCGATGGCCATCTTCGAGCTGCTCGACTATATAGTGAACGAACCGCCGCCCAAGCTGGAGCATAAGATATTCTCCAGCGAGTTCAAGGACTTTGTCGACATCTGCCTCAAGAAGCAGCCCGACGAGCGGGCCGATCTCAAGACTCTGCTGGTATGTAAAAAAAAATCGTGCAATACCGCTGCGCAAATCATTTCGATCGTTCTGTTCTCTGAAGTCCGAATTCTTTTCTTTTTGTTGCTGTGAAGAGTCATCCGTGGATACGCAAGGCGGAGGTGGAGGAGGTGGATATATCCGGATGGGTGTGTAAGACAATGGACCTGCCGCCGTCGACGCCAAAACGCAATACTTCGCCCAACTAAATGAGGCATTCCGTTGTACGTTTTTCGCTCCCCATTCACCATTCACCATCGGCCCTCTCACCCGCCGTGCCGCTCTCACTAACGCACACAAAAACACATACACGTTATCTATTTGTATGTAGCTAAGTACTGTACTGTTGTATCATATACACATATATATAGATCGATATACATCGTATACATATGTTATATATTTCCATTTCTTTCGAATCCTTCCGATGTCTCTGTGTGTTTCTATTTTGCTCTTTTACAAAGAAAAATTCATGTTTCATTTCTCCGCAATAAAAGGAGAAAACAATCAAGAAATGCAAGAAAACTAATTATAAAATCGAAAATAAAACATCCAAGTTAAACCATGATCCAGAAGGTTGTATACACCATTTCCAAAACGAGCCGTTGCGTGTTGGATAGCATTGGCCAAAGCTATAACGAGCTATCAATGTGCCAGCGCCAAACCTTTTTCCGAGTTTAAAATAATTTGCTTCTCCCAAACTTCTTTCCTGTTTTAATTCAATTTCGGAAGCAGACGCTCGACGGAGGAATACAACATTATTTATTTTCCTAAAATGTGAAGACTGCTAAAAGGCTTTCCAGATGTTACCACGCACATTAGCCAAATGCAAAATCATTGCGGGACGTCTGATGCAGACTCTGGTGGAACGTCGCTACGGGATGAATGGATTTGATGTTCAGTGGTGGCGACACACTGCTGTCCATCTTTTGCAAATTCCTGCAAATTCTCATTGAGATTCAGGAGTAGCTGTTCGAGTACCAATATTATTGAAAATAGTCTACACGATGCTCTTATGTACTTTTTAAGCTTTCCGATTGGCCGCAGCCCATGAGCATGACACGTACATTAATATTCTGGATAATCTTTCTTAATTAAAAATTGAATTGGATTATTTTAATTCCTACATATCATTTTGATTTGATTTCGAATTCCAACCGAAACAATTATTCGTAATTGTTTAAAACCTAACAATCGACGGATACCGATAGCGAAAGTATCGGCCATCTCTAGTCGGGAAAATAAATAAAGTAGCAGAAACAGCTGTGTTGCTTGCCATTGTATATAAACAGATACACGTACATTTTCTGATAAGCATTACCACAGTTGCGGATCCAGCACGCAGTTTTGGCCATTACCCGTACCCTCCTGACTAATTGCAATTGTCAATGAAAGAAAGGCAGAGACCAAACCGAGACGCAGTCAACTCAGAAGCCATGTGGGTGAGGGAAAGGGACAGAGCGGCAACAGCACAAACACAGGCAAATTGAAACAAGAGTTCTTTGTTGTAACGGCAACGGCAGCAACGCAAAGGCAACGCGACGCGACGCAAATTATAGTTGGAGCAACAAGCCGACCACGCTCCATAACAACAACAAGCGACGCGACAGTAGGTTCAAGACAGAGCTCCAATGCAGACGTTCCGCAGCAGCAGCAACGGCAACGGTAACTGCAACTGCATTTGACGGCAGGGTAGGATCTCTGGAACATAATCGAAGGAAAGGAAAACAAAATTCAACCATCCAGCATCATGCATCCAGTTAATCAAAAGGAGAGTCCCAGCCGGGATTCCACTGCCTCCACATCGGGACACATATCTATGCTAGCAGACAGCACACTGGAATCCCTCTCCCGTGACTACAGCCTGGGCAGCCTGAACTCCGCCGGCAGCCAGGACGAGTTCTTCCGTTGCCGGGAACACGCCGACAACATCCTTAAGCGTATGCAGCTGTACGTGGACAGCCAGCAGCTGTGCGATGTCACCCTAATCGCTGGGATCGATGGGAAGCGGTAAGTCGAAAACGAAAGACAAAGGAATTCAAATTGGAAAGTTGGGCCCCTTCCAATTACCTTGCCTTGCCTTTGCCCCTCCACCACCACATACCCATCCCCATCCCCGTTGTGCGATTCATTAGCAATTCTCCAGCATATTCGTCTTTCTCTCTCTTGCGCTCTTTCACTCGGGATTTCCCAGGCGCTTCCCCTCCCGCAACTGACCTTCACTTCGGATCAGTTCACTTGGGTTCTTTGTCTGTTTTCTGCGCTGTCGCTGTCGCTATCCCCAACGTGATTCCAACAGTAAACACTCACACACACACGCCGAACGCGTCGCACTAATTGCGTCTGCTGCACGAAGGCTGAGGAGGAGCTGAGACTGGGAGCTGCTGCAACTGAGCGGCTGAGAGTTGAGCAAACGGGCCGACAAGTGATCGAGCGAGTGACAGAGATAGAGAGAGGCGAGTGCAGTTCCGCAGTCTGTTTCGTTTTTTTTCGTGAGTGAGGGGAACGGAACGGAACAATGGTATAATGGTGCGGCAAAAAGAGTGATATGGAAAAATATGTACAGATTTCCCGATTTCCAATCAAGATTTATAGTGCGATCTGTGCAGAAAAATGTGCACATATGTGCATACATACATTTGTATGTACAATTGCAGCTCTGTTTTATGCTTCCTTTGATGCTTTGTGCATTCAACCGGTTTTGTTTATGAAACCCCTCCGATCGGTGGCCGTGGTTAGAAATAGAAAAAAGGGGAAGGAACTCGCATGCAGACAGTGCATAACAGTGCAGTAAAAATGCATACGGCATACGGCAGAAGTACTTAAGATCTATTGTTCCTATGAGAGTATTTTCTTTTTAATAGTGTCCAAGGATTTGTGACATATTTATGTACATACATACATATGTGCATATGTAAATTATCCATACTGAAATCGTGCCAATGATGATCGCTAGATAGAGTTCAAATAGATAAGACTCCTTAACATTATGATAACATTAACATACATATGCACAGATGTATGTTTCCTATCATATATCAACAAATGCCTCAAAAATACATACATATGTAGATATGTCAGAAAAACTTTAATCATAGTTTTGTTTTGTTTTTGTTCAGAGTGCCCGCCCATCGCCTGGTGCTATCGGCTTCCAGTGCCTACTTCTCGGCGATGTTCACGGGCTCACTGCGCGAGACCAAGGAGCCGGAGGTGACGCTCGGCGAAGTGCCAGGCGACGCCCTGCATCTTCTGGTGCAATACTGCTACACGGGATTCATCGAGCTGCGCGAGGACACCGTGGAGACGCTGCTGGCGACTGCCTGCCTGCTACAGCTCACCTCGGTGGTGACTGCCTGCTGCAACTTCCTGGCCAGGCAGCTGCACCCCTCCAACTGTTTGGGATTCGCTTTCTTCGCCGAGCAGCAGAGCTGCACGACGTTGCTGCGCCTGGCCCAGTCTTACACGTGCCAGTACTTCATGCAGGTGTGCCAGAACCAAGAGTTCTTTCAATTGAACGCCGACCAGCTGGGCAAGCTGCTCTGCAGCGATGATCTCAATGTGCCCTCCGAACAGGACGTCTTTCACAGCCTCATGTCATGGGTGCGGCACGACTCCCCCAGCCGGGACCAGCACATACCCGAGCTGCTGGCCCTCGTCCGACTGCCGCTGTTGCAGCCGGCCTTCATCATGGACCACGTGGAGAACGTTTGCAATGCCAACGAGTGCCAGCAGCTGGTAATGGAAGCCTTCAAGTGGCACCTAATGCCCGAGCGTCGCTCCCGCATTGCCACCGAGCGCACTACGCCCCGAAAGTCAACAGTTGGCCGACTCCTAGCTGTCGGCGGCATGGATGCCCACAAGGGAGCGATCAGCATCGAGAGCTACTGCCCCCGCCTGGACAAGTGGACTCCATTTAAGCACATGACTGGACGTCGTCTACAGTTCGGGGCCGCTGTAATGGAGGACAAGCTTATCTTGGTGGGCGGACGTGACGGCCTGAAGACCCTCAACACTGTGGAGAGCCTCGACCTGAATACCATGTCCTGGGTCCCGTTAAATCCCATGGCCACGCCACGCCACGGTCTGGGTGTGGCTGTGCTCGAGGGTCCGCTCTATGCTGTCGGCGGTCATGATGGCTGGAGCTACCTAAACACAGTCGAGCGGTAAGTCAGGGCTGGCCCCCGCCACCCAATCTTTGGACATCCCCTTTAATTGATTGATTTGTGTCTGCTCTAGGTGGGATCCAATAGCTCGTACCTGGAGCTATGTCTCGCCCATGTCTTCGATGCGTTCCACCGCCGGCGTGGCAGTGCTAAGTGGCCGCCTTTATGCGGTGGGCGGGCGTGATGGTTCCGTCTGCCATCGCTCCATAGAGTGCTACGATCCGCACACCAACAAATGGAGCCTGCTGGCGCCTATGAATCGGCGTCGCGGTGGTGTGGGCGTAAGTCGTCCTGGAAGGGCATGGACTACGGGACTCACTTGCAAATACTATCTGATTTGTACGTACTTTTTTCAGGTGACGGTGGCAAATGGTTTCCTTTATGCATTGGGCGGGCACGATTGCCCCGCCAGCAACCCCATGGTCTGTCGCACTGAAACTGTGGAACGCTATGATCCAGCTACCGATACCTGGACTCTGGTAAGTCTCTTCGGTCATCGTTCCAACATAAGGGTGCTCTCCTCAAACGAGTCTACGTTATCTCCCGCTCTTAGATTTGCTCGCTGGCCCTGGGAAGGGACGCAATTGGTTGTGCTCTGCTTGGTGACCGACTGATTGTCGTTGGCGGCTACGATGGCAATACTGCGCTGAAGAGCGTTGAGGAATACGACCCGGTTCGCAATGGCTGGAACGAGCTGACCCCCATGTCGTTTGCCCGGGCTGGCGCCTGTGTCGTGGCCATTCCCAATGTCATACCGCCGGCGGCCCAGCAGCCGCCCCCCAGTGCCACAGTTTAGTTTAACCCTTCCAATTCCACATTTGTTTCTACTGTAGTTGTTCTCGTTGTCGCTCTGAGCTGCTCGTGGTTGTTGCTGCCGTTGTTGCTGATGTTATCATATCCTTGCAGTATAGAAAGACCGCTAGATATAGCCATTTCCATGTCCTTTTGTCTGCTCCAATTCAAACTAGTGCCCCATTCCAGAAATGCAACGCAATGATTTTAATGTTACGGTCGGTCCATATATCGCAAAGCCGCTGTTGGAACGATGAGCCGTAAGAGGAGTATTGTTCTGGACTAGTAATCTGCAAGGGTACGTGATGCTTCGGCTCCCGAAGATAGCCATTCCCTCTGGAAACATCAGAGAAATGAAGACTTGTGTAACCGTGCAAGAACTGCAGCCCGACCAGGCTCCGCTTACGCTCGCGTCGCCTCTCGCTCCTCTGTGTTCCGACATTAATCCCCTGGCACCCTTTGGCATGGCATTTCCGCGTCTCCATCTACCCCCAGTTCCTACTTCTTGCACTCAAGCCACAGGCTACTTTGCTGCTACTTTCCTCGAGGTCAAGCATACCAACGAAATACAAAAAAAAAATCTCATAAATTGTAAGATATGCATGCGGCGAGGCTTCATGAATAATTAGTTTTTCTATCTATCGTAGTTACATTCGCATCTCATTCATCGCATTTTTTCGTATGCTTCCATGGTATTCTGCTCCCCAGCCCACTGTCCCCTGCCAGCATGCTCGCCCGCTCGCACTCTCTCAATTCGAGGTGACAGACACATCCATCACACACTCGCACGTACACACACACACACACAAACACACACACCGTCTATTCGAATATATTCCATTCCACCATAGCACTCATTCCAGTGATCCAGCGTATTAATGCTAAAGAAGACTGTGCCAAGCCAAAATTCCGATCATTCCAAGTCCAATTAACGGCTCATTTGCATGGGAACTGTACGCTTCCATATTCCTTTTGTGTTTATACAAAGAAAATAAGTAAGAAACGATAAATGAGTTTTAGTTAATAAGTACATATGTATGTAATGGCATTTTGAAGCTAGTTTTAATTGATTTGAGCTACATATTGCATCTTCATTGGCATCGATTAGCAATGTACTACTACTACTACTACTACTATACATATGTATGTGTCTATAAGCAAGCATTTATTTCTAATTTTTTTATTATGTTTTTATTTCTTTCTTTTCACATTTCCGAACGTTTTCCTCGTTTCTCGACTGCATTAAACGTGCGCGTGTATTTTGTAGAAAAAGAAGAAGTGGAAGCCAGTGAGATTGGATCCAATCTGCTATAGGCGTCCTAGATCCGTCGAGTTTGTCGACTACTATAACATGTAAAGCAAAGAAAGCCGAAAAACTATAAACATTTAAGCAAAGCAATGCTACGAAAACAGAAACAAGCAAGGAAGAGAAATTCAAATATTACGTATTATTTTATATTTACACATATATATATTTTTACACAAAACATACACTATGCATAAATGTATAAACTGAATATGTATTTTTTGTAATAAATCGTATAGTACATACATATGTACATACATATACCTTATTTATGCGCAAGCTGCCTCTCTTCGAAAATGAGAATCAAACCACTAACCTAACCATATAGTACAGTATACATATATGTATTTATATGTATATGTATATATGGTACAGTATATACTTTATGGTTAGTGGTTTCAGTCAAAGTTTTAACCGAGTTGGAAAGAGGCAAAATAAAAACACACGAAAGCAGCTGGCCAATCTATTGCTAACAGAGCTTTAAAAAATCAAATGAAGCCAATACGTTGTACCCCAATTTATAGTTCATGAGTCTAAATACGCAAAAAGAACCTTAAAGGCTGCACAAAAAGTGTACTTAATAATGCGTATAGACGACTTATATTATAAAAAGCCTAAATTTCGCATGATTCTTTGGCGATTTGTGCAACAACTGTTCCTGCTGTCTGCTTCGTTAGTACATATCATTCATTTTATTTAGTAGAATTAACATATGCGATGGAGCACTTCAGGTGGCCCTTGAGCTAGTGTGGCGGGACGAGGTGTACTTTGTGTACCGATCGGGTCTGGGCGTACTCTCCTCGTTGGGGCTTGGAACCAGCCCACGGACTGATACGACTGAAAGCATTTCCTTTGGGGCGCTGGCATCGTTCTGGGAGAGCTTTTGGGAGTGCTGCTGGGTGTCTTTGATATCCTGTCCTGTGCAAGCATTCCCAAATCCATTGCTCGAGCTGGCTGGCATCCACTGCACCCATTTCCCATGCATGCCATTCTGGACCATATATGGCCCAACGCTGGCCTCTCGATTCACATTCAGAAGATCTTCGTGAGCATTGGCGAGACGCCGTGCGAGTGGACCGTGTATCTGCTGTCCTCGCTGCTCTACTTCGACCACAAACTAAAAGATCGGAGCCCCTGAAGCCCTTCCTCAAGAACCAGAAGCATCAGCTCCATCGTCGACAGCGTGACACCAGTTCAGGGTGCTGCTGATGTCCCCGCCGCGGTCTATCTGATATCGAAGGACTTGGAGACGTTTGTGATTGGCAAATTGATTGTGATTGCTATGCCGTCTGTGGGCCAAAACTGCCACCAGTGGCTGTACAAGAAGACTGACTCTGTCAACGGCCTTAGCTACGCGTCCGGCTTCGTCTTCGTCTTCGATTCCGGTCAAGGCAGTACCAGTGCCTATGACCACACCCACATCCAAATGAAGAGGCATGCAAGTCAGCGGGCCCTCCCGCGGATGGGGGGACCCCAAACCAAAATCCCAAGACAAATCAAAAATGTTTTTTTGTGATTTTGTTTTTCCGTTTGATGTTTTAACTAAATTTTGAATTATAAACTGTGTAGTTTTGAGAGAAATGACGGCTAGGTTTCGTGTAGAGAATATGCCTGGCTGATTTATATTTGGGCTACGACTTGGGCTAGCAATACTCCGTTGCTGGATGCTGGATGTCGAGTTGCCTGGGAAAACAAATTCAAGCCCTGTTTGAGAAGTTTGCACGTAGGACGAGGGGAAAGTCAAGCGTTCGGTGGAATGGGCCGCAATCAGGCGACGGCCCGCAAGTGGACTAGAAGATCGCATCAGCAAGAGGAATATGTGCCTGCACCTGATCCAGAGTGGCCCGCGTGGCGCGTGGCATACTGGTTCACCATTTTCATCGTCGTATCACTTTTATACTATTTTTTCTACATCCTCCTCCATGCGGACTCTGACAAGTGCAACGATTACGATTTGCAGTGCGATTGAACAGGACAGAAACAGGGGACGCCGAGTCTGTGAACTTCTCTCTGGGAAATCTGGGAGAGTGGGTGGGGGGCTAGTTCATACCGATAACAGATTTATTATATGGTAAATCAGATTTTGAGCACGTCTTGGGACATTTGTGTTACACTCTGTTAATTGGATAATTAAATAAAATAATTCGTTAATTACGCTAAGGCTGGGCATCGCTAGCTGAAAGCATATATGCGGGTATCTGGTAGTTGGAGTAGACGCTGGAGAACTTGATGACCCAGCCGACACCGTCGTAGTTTACAGTCTTATGGAAGCGGACGTCAAGCTGGCTGCTCTGGCTCTTGTAGACACGCGGGGCATCATCGCCGCAGAATCGTCGCATCTCCCGCTGCTCGCCACTGCCCGACGCGGGCATCTCCAGAATCTGCACGTAGTCTGTGTGGCAAGTGCTTCTGGAGCCCAGGTTGAAGCCTGTGCAAGGGAAAGGGCAAAGTTACAGTTGATTTCGTTGAGATCAAATACCCCGCCCCGGGTAAGTGCGCGACTCACTCTCGAAGAACAGGAGCACACGATTGTTGCTGGGCACCCGGACTGTCCAGCGACAATCGGAGTTGTTGCGCACATTGTCCGGATAGAAGGGATTGGTGAAGATGCCCTCAGTGTTGTAGAACTGGCCGCCGCAGCCGGGGCCCGCCGCGATGGGGCTGGCCAGGTAGGTCAGGTCCAGTCGGCTCAGATACGAGCCCGTCTTAATGTGCAGCCGCAGCTCGTTCGTCTGGCTAAAGATACTCTTGCCCGGATCCAGGTAGGAGCAAAGGCGCTGCAGCGACTGGTTGTTCCTATCGAACACCTCCATGTTCTCCTGTTCGCAGTCAAATGACGAGAACACCAGCTCCGCATGGTACAGGCTGAGCGTGTAATTGGCAGGCGCCCGTATATAGACATCGCAGTCGGCTGTCTCCGACAGCCGCACTCGTCCCTGCAGCCCGCCGTAGTGGCGCTGACAGTCCGAGTCCAGGGATGCTCGAATCTGGAAACCGGGCCTAGTCACCGCTCCATTCGTGCGAAACTTTAGGTACACCTCGTTGGCATTCGCATAGTATGTGTCCGGCTTGCCGCTGCCGCAGTACACGTGCTCCGCGGCATAATTGAGCATGTTGAGGCCGGACGTGTGCCCGTTGAAAATAAGCTCACTGCCATAGCCCTGCTCCACCATAAGGGCATCCTGCAAATCAGAGAAAGAGAGGAGAGAGTATTAGTATTCCCTTTGGGACTGCGTCTGGGACGCCTTGTATCCCGACTGTGTCTAGACTTATGAGCCAGCTATAATGATCCAATGGATATAGCATAGAGTCCATAGGTTCCATTGCTTTCTCACTAATTCGAATGCCAAGGGAGTCGGACAACAAATTGCCGACTAATTACCTCATTGTTGTAGATTTTCAGATAGTCGGCGACACAGCTGCCATTCGCATCGGGTCCTTGTATATCGAAGCTCACGAACTCAAGATTGAGAGCCGCATCCCCGACAATCTTCCAGAAGCAGGCGACGCCGTTGCCGTTGCCGTTGCCGGAGTTGCCGCCAGGCTCCGCGGCGGGAGAGCTGAGGGTGGCCTGCCTGAGACCGGTGGAGTCCAGCCTGATCTCGGGACTGCCGCACAGACGCGGCTTGCTGGTGACGTACATCTCGAAGCCGGAGTCATTGATGTCGGCGTTCGTGAAGAAGCGCAGGAAAAGTGTGTGCCGCGTGGTGATCAGGATGGGTGGCTGATCCTGGCCGCAGAACTTGCCAATGAGCTCCGCAAAGGGCCCGGCCCCGTCGCGCAGCTCAACGAAGTCCTTTCCGCAGTCCGCCGCCTGCTCCACGTGGAAGCTGCGGAACTCCACGCTCAACTGCTGATCGGCCGCTGCAGCGAACACGATGTTGCAGTCCAGGTTGTGTTCGTAGCCCTCCTGCCCGAAGAACATGTCGAACTGGTACCTCTGGGAGCTGTTCACGTGGATGTGCGCATCGCAGTTTTTCAGCACTCGCACCAATGCCCTGAATCCCCGCGAGGGATCGCGGTCATCGGAGTAGCTGTGGATCAGGGCGCGATCGCCTCCCACGCTGAGCGTGGGCAGATTCTCGGTGATGTGCCCACAGAAGCGGCCGGCCCGCATCCGCTCGTTCGGCACCGCCCCCGCGAACACCTCCACACCGTCGTAGGAGCAGCTTGAGTGCGCCTCAAAGTCGATAAGCTCAAACTTGATGGTGAACTTGTGGCCGGCGGGCGCCGTCAGGTTCCAGTAGCAGTCGCTGTTCGGCGGCAGCTTGTCGTCAGTGTGCTGCCGTGGCGAGGCCAGCACGCCGGACTCGCTGATGACGCCACCGCACAGCTGGGTGCTGTACACCAGCCGGAAGCCCCGCCCGTTGTAGCTGCTGTCCGTGCGCAGCGTCAGATCGATGGACTGCTTGGCCCGGTACTCGTGGTTTTGCTTCACCCCGCATATGGTGGCCTGCTGCACGCGGTCCCCGGAGTCCCTGGTGACCACGGTGACATTGTCGAACTGGCAGACACTTATGGGTGCCTGCTCCAGGTCGAACTGCAGGAAGCTGATCAGGACGCCGGCGGCGTGCGGATGCCGGGGCACGAATGTCCAGCTGCACATGAGATTCTTGTCATAGCCTGGGTAGCCGGGATTGGTCAGCTCCTGCTCATCGGATGTGGCGTAGAGAGTGCCGCCGCAGTTGCGCTCGAACTTTGCCACAAATCCGTCGCCCACCACATCGCCATCGGAGCGGAAGATAAGCCGCATAAAGGGGGCCGTGGTGTTGATCTGTTGCGGCGGTGCCCGGCCGCAAATCCTCTGCAGGTCGGTCCAGTTGCCGCTGGAATCGTTGCGCTGCTGCACCAGCAGATAGTCCTTGGTGCAGCCGGTGCTGTCCTCGATGTAGAAGCGCCCCAGGAACGAGAGCCCAATGTGGTAGCCCGGCTCCGACTCCACCTCCCACACGCACTCCACATTGTTCTTGTACTGTTCGCTGAAGTCCACGTGCCGATACGGATAGCTGAGCTTGCCGCCGCACCCCGAGCCGTACTTGATGGACACATTGAAGGTGGAGTTGGCCACGTACCGGTCCGCATGGTACTCCAGGAACAGTCCGCGCTCCACCACCAGATTCAGGTCCGTCGGCTGGTCGCAGTAGACGCCCAGCGAGGGAGAGTTCTGGTCGGGACCGTTGTACACCTTGAGAAATTGCTTATGGCAGCCCCCTGCAGCTCCAGCTCCAGCACCAGCTCCACCTTCCTCGGCATTCGGTAGGTGCACTGTGAGGGACACCTCCAGCTGGATGTCCTGCGGCGATGGTCCGTCCTCGCCGCTTGCATCCATGTCGGGCCCAATGGCCCAGGCACAGTCGATGGCTCCGGCCACACCACTCATGCCGAACGGCTGGCGGATGGTCAGATTGTCGCCCGGCTCCAGGGGCCAAATGCCGCCGCACGACTGCATGCTGTAGCCGAGGCGCAGAAGCTTGAGCTCGTTGCGAACGCTGCCCGAAACGGTCAGCTGGATGGGGAAGGGCACTCGCACGGTGGGCACACTGTCCCCGGGCCCAATGCTCAGGAAGCCGCAGAGTAGGTGCGAGAGGAGCGGCTCCGACTGCTCCGGGCGGGAGAGCTTGAGGGGCGACAGGAGGCCGCAGATGTGCTCGTTCCGCATAATCGCGGAGCTGCTGTTGTACTGCAGCACCTGGAGGAGGATCGTGGCGTTGGGCGGCGGGCTCAGGTTGTAGCTGCAGTGCACCAGGCTGCTCAGGTTGTGCCGCTCGAAGTGGAGGGCTTCGCCGGGCTGGCCCTCGCGGATATTCAGGCCCCGGCACTCGCTCTCGCCGTAGGCAGTGAAGCGCAGCTTGAAGCCGCGGTGCCGGCTAAAGGGCAGCAGGAAGGCATCGATGCCCATCGTGTTGTCCGAGGAGATTATCTCGGCGGGTGGGTCGGCGCTGTACCGTCCGAGAATGGACTGCATTTTGTGGTCGTTGGCGAAGGTGAGGCGACCCCGGAAGACGGGCGACTCCCTGATCGACGTCTCTCCGCCGGTATTGAAGTCGAGGATCTCGACGCGGACGCGCCGTCCCTTGGGCACCTGCAAGCGCCACACGCAGTGCATCGGATGGGTCACCCCGTCCGGATAGCCGGGTGACTGCAGCACTCCCTGCATGGCCTCGATCTTCTCGCCGCACCGCGAGCCGATCGCCTTGTAGCGGAAGCGGAAGCCCTGGTTCTCCTGCAGCTCGCCATCGATCAGCCGCAGCCGCACCACAATCTTGTTGGTCTCCACCAGGAGCCGCCTGTCGCTCGTGCCGCACACCAGCAGGGTATCGATGACATGCTCCTCCCCCTCCAGGCCGAACGGCGCCATCTCCTCCAGCCGCAAGTGCGTGTGATGTGAGCAGTTGTCAGCCACCTTCTGCGGCAGCTGCAGCCGCTCGCTCTCCAGCTCGATGGTGTTGCCCTTGTCCACCTCGATGGTGTACACGCACTCCTCCAGGGCCATGCCCTGATCCGAGTGCAGCTTCAGCTCGGCCGGCGTCGGCGAGCTGATCTCCCCCTCCGGACTGAAGTAGCTGCCGCCGCAGCGAGCGATGCTGAGGCGCGCCTGGAAGCCGTACAGCGGCTCCGGCACCTCCGTGTAGTAGCGGATCCGCAGCTGGCTGCCCGAGGAGTATATCGTGTCTGGCTTGCGATTGCCGCAGAAGCGTCCCAGCTGCGGCTTCAGCTCCGTGCTGCCGTCGTTCATCTGGATGAACTCGCGATCGCATTCGGCAGCATAGGCAGGATCGGCTGTAGCGGCTGCTGCTGCGCCCGTGGCAGGTGTCAGATCGAAATTGCCAAAGAACTGCACGGAGATCCTGTGCTGGGGCGGGGCAGAGATCAGCCACACGCACTCCGAGTGCGGATTGGGCAGATTGGGGTAGTTGGGCGAGGTAATCACCTGCTGCTCGCCAGCGGCGGGACCCAGCACGATTCTGCCAGAGCAGGCGTGGCCCAGCTCCTCGAAGCGGAAGCTGACCCTGAAGCGGGGATATCCCTGGTAGCGGAACTTGATGTACGCCCGGTTCGAGGTTGTCTCCAGCACATCGCCAATGCCACTGTCACAGTACTTGCCCCTGCCCAGGAAGGGCGAGTCCGCCGCATAGCCGTTCCTCACCATCAGAAAGGTGCCGCATGGCTGCCCGCCGCCGCCGAATGGCGCTGGAGATGCGGCATTGGCGCTGTCCATCTGGAAGTCTGGAAAGTCGATGCGGATGCGACGCCCCTGGCGAACGCGCAGCTTCCACACGCACTCTTGGGGCCTGAGGGGGCTGCCCAGCACCGACTCGGTGACGTTAACCAGGCCCCTGATGGAGGAGAGCTCTGAGCCGCACTCCGTGCGCACCGCCCCGTTGAAGCCCGTCTTGTTTACACTCATATCCGTGATGAACTCCACCTTGAGGTAGGGACTGCCGTGGAATATGCGCGGCGATGTGAGGTTTGGTTCGGCGCACAGCCTCGCCTGCTCCGTCCAGGTCTGCATGTCGGCACTCTGCGAGACCTGCAGGTAGTCGGCTATGCACTCGTTGCTGCCAAAGAGCTCGAGGTCGAGCTTGACCAGCTGGAAGACAGCGTGCATGGCCGGGTTGACCGGCACCAGGGTCCAGGCGCACTGCAGCCCATTCTCGTAGCCGCCGGGGTAGCCGGGCGAGTTCAGCGTGAACATTGTCTGGTTAAGGCTGAGCAGCTGCTGGCCACAGTGCCGTGTCTGCTCCTGGGCCGTGCGGTTCGACCGCAGCGACTCCTTGGACAGGCGCTGCCAGCTGAGCTTGAAGGGACCCCGACTGGCCGTAAAGTAAACCATATTGGTGCTCGACCTGACGGCCTCATCGCCCACCGCTTCGAGTGGGGCGCCAATGTCAGAGTAGCCGTCGTAGAAGCGCAAGTGCGGCTGGTCCAAGTCCCTCAGATGGAGCACGCTGATCACCACCACATAGTTCTTGTCCACGGTTATGCGCCAGCTAAACGGGTCGGAGGTCTGGAATTTGCTCGGATATTGCGGCGACTGCACAACGCCATCGGTGCCGTTCAGCTCGTTGTGTCGCTCTGGAACAGGTCCAAGAAAAACAAAACAAAACAATAAAAGCAACCCAAAAAGGAATGGGGAGATGGGGAGAGTCTTGGGGGAGTCTTAGAGAGTGAGCTGGGGGACATACCATAGTTGTAGGAGGCCATGAAGCCCTCGCCCACGTTGTCGTCGTCGCTCTTGAACTTGATCCAGATGGAGCCACGGGAGTGAATGGCTCCGGGCACCTGATTGCCACAATAGACACCGATAAGCGGGCCACGCTCGAACTCCTCGCGCACCTCCATGTAGTCCCTGTTGCAGCCGTCGGACTGCTCCAGGTCCATCGACTCGATGGTCAGACTGAGGGAGTTGCCCTGGCTGGCCGACAGCACCCATATGCACTCGATATTGGGCGGATAGCTGTCGGGATAGTACGGGCTGCTAAAGCGGCCGGACATGGCCGTGTAGAGGCTGCCGCAGGCCGTGTCCATGGTCATGAAATGTCCCTCGAACTCCTCCACCAGCAGCAGGGGCAGACTGATGGTGAGCGACTGCCCATTCGATATAATCGCGGGCGGATGCGAGCGACAGAACTTGAGGCGCGGCGTGCCCGCAGCCTCAGGTCCATCGTAGATCTTTACGCCCACGGGCAAGCAGTCGCCCTCTAGGGGGTACATGGTGTCGGCCTCCGGACGCAGCTTGATGCTGGTCGCCGTGAAGATGATGTGCTTGCCGGGATCAGAAGCCTGCAGCACCCAGAGGCAGGTTTCGTTGCGCGCCGCCTGCCGCTCCAGGCTGAGGTACTCAAAGTCGGTGTCATCGATGCTGATCTGCTGGCCACACGACTCATGGAAGTGCAGCCGGAATCCCGCATGCGAAACGCTATCGTCACTGACGAACCGCACCATGGCTGCATTGGAGCCGGACATCAGTGGCGCCTCCGGGCTAAAGCTATTGCACACCTTGAAGAGTCGCCGTCCCTCGGTATCGTCGTCGCCACCGTTGATGTCGAAGGCCTCGAGATAGTCCCAGGAGCACTCAAATCCGGATTCAATTTCCATGTCCTGTACGTCAAAGACGATGCGATGATGCGGCGACACCTCCAACAGCCACTCGCAGTGGCTCTGCTCCGGATACGGCATCGGATAGTTTGGCGATTGGATAACTCCATTCCGGCCGCTCATCTTGCCACCGCACTCTGCAAGAATTGAGGCACATTAGACCCAACCCAACCCAAGACACTCTCCGGTATCTCTTGACTCAGTGGCACTCACTCGATCTGACCGTACGGTAGGTGGCCTCGAAGCCGCGACCATTGTGCGAGCCATCGGCGATGAACCGAATATGCATCCGATGTCCAGCGCTGGTGAGCACCAGCTGGGGCGTTGCCCCACAGTGGCGTTCGTGCACATACGTCTCGTGCTCGTGGTTGGATACCTACAAAAGTTCCAAGCAGAGATTAGGGATGTTGTTGCAGTTGCAGTTGCAGTTGCAGTTGCAGTTGCAACGTGTTTTACGTACCGTCAGAGCATCCTTGGTGCAGTTGACACTCTCCTCGAGGTCCAGATTGGTCACAGTCAGCTCGATGGTGTCGCCCATCTGTACGTTGATCAGCCAGTAGCACTCGAGGCTATTCGGATACATTCCCGGGTGGTTGGGCGACTGGAAGGAGCCGCTCTCAGCGCGGAACTCCTGCAGGCAGCCATCGATGCGGTACTCCAGCTGGAAGTTGACATTGCTGGCATTGTGCACGAGGGTGACAACATCGCCGCTGGCATTGTGGGCGCCCGGTCCCAGCAGGGGCAGCAGAGAGCCGCCATCTATGAGGTAGACACCGCCCGGCAAAGCTGTGGGCAGGCGCTCCTCGTGCCGCTCCATGTGGGAGACCTCGAGCCGAATGCGATTGCCCCTCGGCGCACGGATCGTCCAGCTGCAGTTGATGGGTATCTGATCCCAGTAGGGCTCCATGTAATTGAGGCTCTCGATGGTGCCGTAGGTGGCTGTGACGTTGCGGCGACAGTTGGTCGTGTAGGAGATGCGGAAGCCCCTCATCGCATTGTTCACATCCGAATTGAAGAAGATGTCCACCGCGTTGCCATCGAACGTCAGCGCGCGATGGCTCTCGTCCGGCTGGTCACAGATCTTCAGCTTGGGGTCGACGCCCAGGTGCCGGTCGCCAGTGAAGATCAGCACGTTGTCGTACGAGCAGGAGTCGGAGCTCTCCAGCTGCATGTCCTCGATGAGCAGCTGCACCGCCGAGCCCGGATGGACGCGCACCTGCCACTCGCAGTGCATATTGTGCGGATAGTTGTTGGGGTACCGGGGCGAGGTAATCGCTCCGTCATTGGAGCTCAGCCGACCGCCACACCTGTTGGCAAAGACGCGCCAGCGCAGACGGAAGCCGTGCCCACTGACCGCCGCGTCCGTGTGGAAGACCAGACGCAGCTCGTTGCTGAAGCTGGGAATGCGCGTGGGAATCTGCGAGCCGCAGAATCGTCCGATAAGCGGCGAGGACACATGTCCTCCGTTGCGCACCTCCAGGTAGTCCCGGCTGCAGTTCGCGGAGCTCTCCAGATCGAATATTTCCAGCTGCACCTCGACCAGGTGGCCCAGGGCCACGGTCAGCTGCCAGGCGCAGTCGAGGTCCGCCGAGTAGTTCATCGGATAGCCGGGGGAGCTGAGCTCTCCGCTGGAGGCGTGTATGTGCCCGCCACATCTGTCGGTGTCCACGAAGCTGAAGGCCAGCTCGAAGCCGTCGTATGCGCTGCTGTAGTCCGACTTGAACTTGATGGTCAGCATGCGCGCCTGCGTGACAAAGTCCTCCGGCAATGCGCTGGAGCAGTAGCGGGCCAGCGGCTTTGCGTCCGGCCTGTAGGCATCCATGCTGTCGAATATTTCCACATGATCGTACGAACAGTCGCTGCTGGACTCCAGCTCCATGCTGACCCAGTGCAGCCGTATGGCCTTCCGCGCCGGCGCCTGAATCACCCAGTAGCAGGTGAGATCGTTCGCATATTGGCCATCCCCGTCCACAGGCAGACGGATGTTGCCCTCTTTGGTGTGGACACCGCCGCAATGATCGCTGGCAGCGTCCACCGTCTGATAATCAAACTTAAAGCCACGTCCCCGGCTGCTGCTGTCCGTCTGAAGCTGCAAGATCAAGTGGTTTGTCTGGCTAATGAACTCATCGTCCGGCAGACGCTTGCCGCAGTAGGGTCCCAGTATCTGACGGTTTATGCCAACGTTCATCTGTCAAGGAATCATGGAAATGGATTAGTTGGCTTAGTTGGTTCCTCCCCCCACACACACACACACACACACACACACACACACACTCACCCTTAAACTAGTGCCCAGACAGGCATCATCCTGGTCATCGTCATCGTCGTCGTCGTCGCTCGTCTGTGGACCATCCTCCAGCTGGAAGTCCCGCCGATTGATGACGATGTACTTACTGGGCGCCGTCGTGATTGTGTAGGTGCAGAGCGTATCGCTGGTCGTCAGATTGGGGTAGCCGGGCGAGAGCACAGTGCCCGAGTCACTGTCGAATGTGTAGGAGCAGAGGATCCTGTAGTGGAGCTGGAAGCGTCCGCGGCTTGCGTAGGCCTTGATGCGAACCCGATTGAACAGAGACCTGAAGCTGGGCGGAGTGCCGGACGATTCGCCACAATGCTTGGCCTGCAGCAGGCTGGTGCCATCGACGGCCACATCGTACAGCTCCAGGCAGTCCTGGCGATCCATTTCGAAGGTGACAAACTCAATGCCCACCGATTCGCCCACGGCCAGGCGGATCTCATACTCGCAGGACATGGGCACATCGCTGGCCAGGCTACTGAAGCGTATGGAGCCCTCCTTGCTGGTGTAGATGCCGCCACAGCCAGGCACCCGCTCCTCGACTGAGTAGTGCAGCTGAAAGCCAGAGTCGCTGCCATCGGCGTCCGAGTGGAACTGAATGAGGGCCTCGTGGGTGGGCAGCAGCAGGGGTGCGGGCTGGACGCTGCTGCAAAACTTTGCCAGCTGCCGGTTCGAAATGGAGTCCATGATCTGTGGGTGGGCACAACAAATTGAGTTCAGTGATTCCCATGAAGCCAAGCCCTTCTTCTCCCAACCCCCTTCTTCTCACCTCGACATAGTCAAAGTTGCAGTTCGTGTGCTGCTCCAGCTGCAGGCTGAAGAACGTGAGCTTGATGCGCTTGCTGGTGGGGGCCACCAGATGCCAGCGGCAGTCCCGATTCTTGGGGTAGTTGCCCGGCGACCCGGGCGAGGCCAAGGTGCCGTGTGTTTCGAACTCAAGGCGGCCACCGCACTGGGGCTCCATCGACACCCAGCTGAGATCGAAGCCCTCGCGCGAGGTGGTGTTATCCGATCGGAACCAGAGGTACAGCTGGTTGCCCGATGAGATGATGCTGCCACCGTGCGGCAAATGGTTGCCGCAGTAGCGACCGAGGATCTGTGCCGCCGCCGAGCGGCCGTCGTTGATCTGCAGCCAGTCGAAGCGGCATTCGGTGGAGTCCTCCAGGTCGAAGCTGCTAAATGTCACATTCAGCACCAGCGACTCGTTCGTACGGATCACCCACGCGCACTGGGCATTGTGCTCGTACCCGGTGCCCTCCGGCGGATACCTCAGCCGACCGCTCTCCGCACTGAGCATTGCATTGCAGCTGCTGAAACGCACCGAGCACAATCGATCCCGGTAGCCTGGCAGACACTGGCACACGAATCCGTCTGCACTCGACAGGGTGGGGTTGCAGCGTCCCCCGTTCTTGCACGGATGCGCGTCACAGGGATTGGGCAGTGGCTCGCACAGAGGCGGTCGGAAGCCCCTGTTGCACAGGCACGTAAAGTTCGAGGGTCCAGCATCCAAGCAGATGCCATTATTCTACACAGTGTGCGAGCAAATATTAATCATCATTAATCATGCACACGCAATGTATGTTGTTTTTTTTAGTGCTGGAGCACTCCTGCCTTTTGCATAAATAAGGCAGAGAGAGAGCGAGAAAGGGGGCGTACGTGTTATACTCACCAGACAGGGATTAGATCTGCAATTGTTGGCCGTGCCATTGACACAGCCATGGAAACCATAGCCTGTGCCGACCATTCCGGCCGGACAGCTGCATACGACCGTGCCGGAGATCTCGAAACAGTTGGCCGCCGGATGGCAGAGACTGCCACGCTGCGAGCAGCTGCTGATGGTGGCCAGCTCCGAGTTGCCGGGACTGCTGCCGCTCGGACTGTTACGCTGGCAGGTGCGCCCGTCGCCCGTCCAGCCCACGGGACACTCGCCGCAGTGGTGGGAGCCGTAGGTGTTGAGGCAGTCGACCCGCGGACTGAGGCTGCAGCCGCCGTTGTTGGCCTCGCACTCGTCCAGGTCGCGGCAACTGATGCCATTGCCCGTGAGGCCGGCGGCACAGGGGGCGCAGGTGAAACTGCCCGGCAGATTGATGCACTTGGTCGAACAGGGCGTGTGGGCAGCCGCATCGCTGCACTCGTCCACATCCTCGCCGCAGACAGGAGTGAGGCCGTTAGACTTCCAGCCCGCCTCGCATAGGCAGCGGTAGCCTGCCTCATCGGAGCTGGGCACACAGGCGCCATGGCCACAGAGCTCCCAGGCACTGGCCTGTGAGCAGTCGCCCTTGCGCTGGGTGCAATGCATTCCATGCCAGCCCGGCAGGCACAGACAGCTGTACGATCCAAACTGATTCAGACACTGAGCTCCGTTCTGGCAGGCCAGATCGGTGCCCTCGTACAGGGCGCACTCGTTCACATCGATCTCGCACTTGGCACCCTGAGAGATGATACGTAAATATATGAATCACCGATCACAGACGCCCCCCAATACGCCCCCCATTTGGGGGTTGACGGGAGGTTGGTAACCCACCTCGAAGGCCGGCCGGCACTGGCAGCGATACCCATTGTAGGTGTTGTAGCAGCTGCCGCCATTCTCGCAGGGACCGCTCTGGCAGCTGTTGAGCTCCAGCTGCGTCTCCAGCCGGTTCACCTTGGTCTCCATGGCCCTCAATCTGACCTGATAGCGTCGCAGCAGAGTCCGAGATCCGCGTGTCCTGCCGTAATAAAGAACAGTAACAGTAGAGGCACACAACCCTAATAACCCTCAGCCAGCATAGGAACAAAAGGCACACAAAAATAAAGCCATAAAGCCGAACTCTCACTTGAAAAGGAAAGCGCAAGCCGTACCCAGAATAGAATCTACTTTGGCTGGTCCCAACAACTCCCTCACCTGTTCAACTGCTGTTGCAGCATGCTCTTGAGTCCATTCGAACCGAAGGCACGCCTCTGAAAGTCCGCTAATTGATCTGCCAGCTCACGGATATCAACAAGATCCTCGGTCGAGCTCCATTCATCCTTGGCGCCATCGGGTCGCTTTTTGGAGCCCACGCTGGCCAGCAGCAGCTCAAGGACATCGTACTCCTCGTTGATGGTCAGCCGAGAGTTGCCGGACAGACGGAAGCTGATGTTCCGATTGGCACCGGACTCAAATATCAGATTGCCATCTTTGCTGATGATTTTTGGTCTGAAATCGGGAGAATCAAGGGAGACCACACGAGATCTTATTCACAGCTCTTTGGGTGGGGGGGCGTAGGCGTCACTTACGAGTTGACAAAAGCCTCCACCGCTGGCCAAACATCCACATCCACAAGTAGCAGGATAAGGCTAAGGCATGGCCACATCAGGAGTCTGCCTTTTGCAGCAGCTCCCAGCATCTTCTCACTTTCCACTCACACCAATCACTTGAACAAAAAATATTTAGATAAAACAACTTCAAGGAAACACTCGAAAAAAAAAAGGGTATTCCGCTCCGCTTCGCTCCGTTTGGCTACCGATGTCCGACTGTGCCTCTGACCCAGAACGCCGCTGCACAGATCAACTCTGATCTCGTGTGGTGCAAGGGGGGCGGTACCCAAGAGTACGCCCATCAAACTACCAGTGCACGCGGCCACTCCGCTGCCCCAACCTCTACCAGTTTTCATTAAATAAAATATCGACAGTTGTTTAGTATCATACACACATTTAGATATACATACACATACACATACACATACATATATATATGTTTTTATTTTTTTTGAGCATATTTCTCAACCGATTTGGTGGACGTGGATACAGAATGCGACCGATACTGATCCCAATCGGATTGATCTCGGTGCCGGCTTAGGTTCTAATAATATCCATTAGAATAGCACATAAATTATATCATTTAGCTTAGGGTTAAGTTAGTTTCTTCTTCTTCAAAATGTAAAAACTATGGAGTTATTTTTGCCTTGCCCCTGGCTCTGGCTCTGGCTCTGTCATAATTCAATGGGTTTTACATTTGGATAGATTCAGTTTGGTGCCAGTTTTCAATTACATATTTAAGGTTATTCTTTTTGGTAATTTATATTATAGACTCTGTTTGGGGTGTTTGGGGGGGATGGGGTACAGGAAATGATTGATTTAAGTTCAGGCTATGCAAATTTCATCTCGCTGTGCCACGTGCCGGTCTAAAGTCTAGTTTAAGTTTTCTGTATTAGTTACAAATGCACAAGATATTATAATTAGCCTCTGCCGTATTATGGATAGGAACTAGAGAACGTAAGAGTGTTTTGTTGGTTGGTAACAGATTTCCCATAATGGTGTTCTGGTAGCCTTTTCTTCTGGATACAGGATAAAATAGGATACAAATTTCGATGTATGGGCAAAGCCGAAGGCAGATCGGACTTTTACATTGGATAATATTTGCTGGATGGGTACAATTAATTTCCGTTCAGTTTTGGTTGGTTAATTGGTTTGTTCTTTTACGGGTTTTTTTTGGGGTAGTTTATGATCAGTACAGGCATCTAGCTATCTATCTTTACACAGATATTTCATTAGTTCAACTGTTTTACATAATTTAAAGTTTTACAATACGTTATTTTCCATTTAATGTGCTTGATTGGTGGTTGTTCTATTAAATTGGGGATGCTACTACTGGTCACCAGTACTACCTACTGCTACTAGTAATCGGGTGGTGTGTGGGTGTGGCTACAACATGAGGCATTTGTCTGTGAAGTTACAAAAGTCTGTGTCATTTGGGTGTTGCCTCTCACCTACATAGTACATAGTCTTATACTTATGGCTTGCCGTGCAATATTTATGCATACATATTTCTAAACGATCTCTTTGCCATGGAAACAGTCAATGAAACATTCGATGGGCAAATCAAATACAATCGTCTGCCCATCCATTACGTTGGACGTTAGCCTGCCTCTACATAGACATTTATGTATATGTATATATTTTTGTTTGTTTATGTATATTTAAGTGTATATATGTATAACGCCTATATGTAACGTAAGTTGGTTGTTTTTGTTTGTTGGTGTGTATAAAAAAAAAATCACAAAGATGAAATGACTTGCGTTAAGAGTCTGAGTATGTAAAATTAATAACAAGGCTGGCCGCATCTCTTTGCCGCTCTGAGCATTGTTACATACAACAAACAAACAAACAAAAAAATATTAATTAAGATAATAATCGTACAAATTATATTAATTAAATTTTATAGGTGCCAGGACACGCGCTACACGGTAAATATAAATAAATATTAAAAATATACACTCGACAGTTTCTGCTTAGGTTGGTTGGGCTTTGCTTTTCTCTAACATTCTTCTACAATCTTCCGTATTTTCTATGCTGTACTTTGCTCTCCCTCAGCTTCTTGCTTAGCTTTTGAAATATGTAACTTAAAGGGCCAGCTTTAGTTGGGGTTGCTTGCAACGGTCGCCTTTGATCTTCTTATGTGCTCCGATTTGTGGTAGAAAAACTTGTAGCTTGATGTCTTTTCCGTGTACGCCACAAATGAATCTGAACGAGAGATGATTTAATTAATTTTCTGTTACTCTTAAATGTCTCGAAATGTGACAAACCGAAGGAAACGTAGCCAATGTTGGCAGTGTCCACTGCATAGTAGAGCGCCTGGGCCTTTTGCTCGTTCAGCTTGCCACCAGCATGCCGCATCAGACGCACGAAGCTTTCCCTACTGATTTTCTCACTCGACTCGCTATAAAGCTGCAGCAGAGAAGAAAAAGAAGGTGGTTATGGTTATGAAAGGAGACGTTAAAAACATCCTCTGCATGCATTACCTTGATCAGTGCGCGCAGAAAGGTCGATAGGTCGGCGTTTTTCAATTTGCTGAAGAGCGAGCACAGTAGAAAACTTTTCAGCGAGACTGTGCCACGGCGACGCTATAACGAAACGAAAAGAAACGAGAAACGAAACGTCAATTAGAGCGAGATGGGTCATCGAACAACGAAAATACATACATGATCCAGAAGGGCAAACAATTTGTGCAAATACGGGTTCTTCAGATCCACCTGGAGCAGCTCCGCAAAGGTGATGATGTCCAGCTTGTCCGTGTTGGACAAGCTCAAGTATATCTCGCACAGCTCCGTATCCCGTGTACTCTCCAACAGTCCCAGTTGCTCGATGGTCCGCTCAATCTCGACAATGTCGCCGGGAAAGGGTATCTTCATGTCACGAGCACGACTCATCACGATCACATCCTCGAATGAATAGTCCGATGTGGGCACACCCAGAGCTCTATCAAATCCAATTAAAGTGTCAATCAGCAAATGTTTAGGTAGCGTTTAAAATTGAGAATCGAAATAATAGCCAGCCGAAGCATCCAGCGGCCCTGCAGCTCAAATTGTTATGCATAAGCCCCACAGTGTATTAAATTAAATAAATAAAGGAATGAAAGTCTTTTACTGCTAGCCCTTGCTGCGAGAATGCTCAGGAGAGCACCAGGAAACGACTGATCGGACTGCAGTCAGTCCAGTTTTTGGATTGTAACATTAAGAGGTTGCGTGCAAATCGAAGCCGACACCCAGGAAGGAATCGCAAGAGCTCTATAGATGCTGTGACACCCAAGCAATTGGGAAATCAAGAGGCAATACTGCTTAAACATAATTTTAGCTTCAACACACAGTGTACCCTCACTTATCACTTACTTGGCCATCACCTCGCGCACATTGTTTGCATAGAGATTGGCATCGGCCATCTCGGCCTCGTTTGGCTGGTATACGGGCAGATATTCGACTTCGCAGCGATTGTAGAACTGTGTCATGGTCAGCCAAAGGAGACGTAGGCTAATGTGGCGAGATAAGACATCAGACACACATCAGAATTCGAAAGTTATTTTGAGACAAATATGAGTAGACATACACGCCGGGTCCGTCCCAGGTCCAGGTGAAGGTGTCATATTTATTCGGATACTTGAGCAGCACTGGCTGCACCGGCACGCCCGGATAGAAGGCGCCCGGCTTAAACTTGATCAGAGCCGTGCGATTCGTGCACGTGCCCTCGGCAAAGATGACGACCTGCGGCCAATCGTCTGTGGATCGGGCCCGGTCCACAATGTCCCGTATCGTATTTTGCCTGGAATTGGGATCCTCGCGCTGTACATAGATCGGCTGGGCGTAGTTGATGATGCGACCCAGCAGCGGTATATCTGCCGTCTCCCGCTTGGCCACTATCGATGGCGGTCCGGTGGCCACCACCAGTATGGAGTCCACATAGGAGGAGTGCGGTGCCACCACCAGTATGGGTGCCTGCTTTGGTGTCGCCGGTGCTCCTTTCATGTTCACGTAGTAAAATGATCCCGAGGCGTACAGCATGCGCATGGCCTTGGCCGTCATGTATTGCATTTGCCTGTGAGCAAAAGATGAGCATTAGATCGGCTAAGGGATATCCGGATATCACTTACTTGCGCCAGCCCGTGAGCGGCTTTGCCTTGAGGTCATCCAGCGTCATCCCATAGAGCCCAATGCAGGCGAACATCCACGCGGAGATAAGGGAGAGCACACATCCGACCACACGAATGGGCAGCAATAGAACCGTCAGCACATAGACCTGCAAAGCACAGCCATGCAAAATAAATATTAATTAATTATTCTTTGGTCTCTTGAGCATCAATAAACCGTAAAATAAATGACAAAGAACATGGTTTTATCTGAATTGCTATAGTGTATCCTATATATCTGATATACCTTATATAAATATACATACATACATATGTATGTACTATGCATTAACCTATCTTGCAGCGCACTTGAGTGTAACTAAGTGTAACTAAGTAAAAGGTGCCTGAGACTAGATGGGAGACCTTTTGGGAAAGGTAGGTAGTGTTAGTGCGAGAAATAAATAAATGTATAATGAATTTAGCGAATTGAAAATATTTCTTTACGAGTTCCGACTCCTTTCGTAATCCTGGGCGTAAGTAATCATTAGTAGAGGGTGTGTACATAAATCTGTCTGTTTATTATTTATTTTGTATTTATGTATTTATTTATTTTTCAGATTAATTGAGCAATGATTTAACAATAATTTACAATATCTCCCCCACTGGCATCCTACTGTCTCCCAGGATATATTCGTTTGTCTTTTCTGCGTACCCTTTAAACACGCAATTTCAATGTTTACATCTGTCGATAGCCGATAAGGGGGGGATCGTTAATCGCTGCTTATCATTCAAGTGGCTGGCTACCGGGCCAAATAACGGACTTTGGTTTCGACTTGTGGCCGGAGCGCAAAACGTTCAAATCAAGCGAAGCATGGAAACAGTCAGTCAAACAAATGTTTGATTGCCCCTATGTCAGCAGCCTCAGCAGAAAAGCAGAGCAACCAATAAAACGACAATTCCATAAATTTTGCATGCTATAAAGTGGAATTTTTGTTGGGGAATGTTTATTTTAGAAAAATTCAATCGGCTCAGCAACAAATACGTATTTATTTATGTACATACATACATACATATGTATGTATGTATGTATGTATGTATGTACGCTGAGGGACTTTTGGCGACAGCAGCTATGACTGTTAGAAGCAGAAGCAAATACAACACGTAGGAGAATGCTATAATCGATATTCCGACCATGGGATGATACCTTATCCGCTACTCAGACTTGCAGATCTAATTGAAATTCAGCAGGCGCAAAATTTAAATTCTGGAACTCTGCAAAATATGTAGAGATCGAATTCCAAATAGTTTCTCAACTTCATTTTGATATTTGTGTATGTACATAGAATAGCAGTAGATATTCATTATAATGAGAGCTGGAAGGCCTTAATTAATTGTTTTATTATTTTAAAAATAATAAAAATTATAATGCATGTGAGCCGCATTCTTCAGTTTCAAATATTCAAATTTTCGGAATCCTTTCGCACAGATTTATGTATTTTTGACTTTCAAGAACGAGCATTAAATTAATACCGTATGGCCTTTACCTATACTTTACGAATCTACATCCATGTATGTATGTACGTACATATATAAAGGCGAATGAAGAGCGAGCAGAAGAACAACGTGCAGAAGACAGCAGTGGAGTAGTCAATGCCAATGCCGCCGCAGAGTACCTTGAACTTTCCGTGGCTGTGAAGCCAAGTGAAAACCAGTTTTTGTTTTTATTGCACGCAACGCAATCACCTCCACTCCCCCCTCACCCACTACACTCGCTCCGTGTTTGTGCAGCTGGGCTTTGGAGGTTTTTTTTTTTATTTTCGTTTTTAATGATATTAGTGGGTCAATGGCTCGGGCCACATTGCAGCTTCCTTCCTCTTGTGAACTTCTTCCGCTCTGCGCTTCTTCGTTGGTGCATCGGCCCTCAGCTGTGTTCGTTGCTCTCTCTCTCTTTCTCCGTCTCTGTTATGAAGAATTGTTCAAAAACAAAAATCCTTTCAAGAGTGCGCGATAATGAGCATTCTATGGCATTCAATTACTCTGCCTGCCTACCGCCTCCCATACTTCTTATCAATCCCATCGGTGTGTCTGTTTTTTTCACAGCATGGTTCTATTTCAATTTCAATTGACACTTTGAGCTTTGACTCAGAGGCAATGGCAATAGAGCTAAGCTATTCGGATGCGTCATTGGGATCAGCTGTGAAACAGCAAAATGAACATACATACATACATACATGTGTACATTATTTATGCATACCAAAGCAAATGTCCGATCTAATCGATTGCGAGTGCACTGTTCTTTGGAACCCACCGAAGGATGGGGAGGAGAAGATAGAGGAGCAAGAACCCAGCGAAACCCCACACCAGCTGGGTGTGAGAAGTGAGCGAGCCAGCGGCGAACGGTGCATGGCGTGAAGGGGGGAAATGGGGGTATGCTAAGAGCACAACACATGCCAAAAGAACCGGCAACAACGTACGCAACAACAGCGGCCGCAAGTGGAACAAGAAAATCATACGATTCTCGCTACCCGCCTGCCCGAAACGTTGACGTAGGCAGAGCGGGGCGGGCGACAGATAAAAAAAAAAACCTCATTGCAAAGGAGAAGAAGAACTACAACGACAAACAATGAATGTAACGGCAAATGCATGTCAAGTGCAATGCAATGCAAGGCAATGACAGAGCACAGCAGAGCAGCATACCATACCCAGAACGAGTGCAAGAGAAAGTAGCAGCGCACTTGAAATGCTGCGGCTGTGGCTGTGCCCAAGAGGAAGCAGCAAAACAGCGGTGTCTACTCCATCATTAGCTTAGCGGCGGTCGCCCATGTGCTGCGTGCTCGCTCGCTCTGATTTGCATGAATGAATTGGCAGAGAGAAGAATGGCGAAAGCCAAACAACGTTTCCGTCTGCAAAATGGGATGGGAAGGGAATCAAACCTCGCGACTCACCTTGGCCACTTCAATGTGACTGTCGATTTCGATACGGTGCACGAAGGGATTGATGTAGTTGTATCCCTTGGATGCCCAGGCATCCTCCTCGGAGTCTCGTTTCGACAGACTGCCGCTGGTGTGGATGGGACTATCGTTCATCACCACATCCACATCCTCCCCAGGAACCTCATCACCGCCAGCGGGCGTCGTTGGCGACGATCGTCGGCATCGCTTAACTGTCGACGTTGTCATTGCAATCGCACTCTCACTCGACTCGCACGTTGTTTTTTCGCTCTCTCTCGCGGTCGCTGTAACCCTTACCACTAACTTTTACGCGAAAACACACAAACAAAATAATGATTTGAGTCTGACTTCGTTGCGGATTATGCGACTGCCCGTGTACTGAGTAATTACTGGAAATTTTGACCGTCTTAAGCTACACCTTTTGTTCACACAATCGTGTGTGTGTGGGCTAGTAGGTGGGTGTGTTTGTTGTTAGCTATTTTATTTGTTTGCGCCGAGGATAAGGTATGAGGTGTGACGTATGACGTCACAAAATTCAGAGCTTTCAAGAAAAATACCCACCTCACCACATAACTCACCGTGGGGAATTTTGTGCTTTCGCGCACCCACGTCATGTTCAGTCCTCCCGGTCCAGGATGAGGTCCTTACGAGGCCCTTAAAAAAGTTCGGCCGTTTTAATACTGGGGCCATACCTTGCCATGACCCCACGAAAGAGAGACCTCAAACCGCTCTCCCGACTCATTTTTGCGTTTCTTAGGGCTAGAGGTGTAAGACCATCGAGGGCACTATCGATAGTATCGATATTTTTCTGCTAGCCTCTACTATCGATGGTCTTGAGACTATCATGATAGTATCGAGCTACAGTCGTTACGCTTTTGAGAAGCTTTTGAGAAAAATAGCTTTTGTTAGCTATTTTATTTAACCCAAGCAAAAAAAAAACAGCACACCAGTGTGACCGCAGATTAATCGACCAAATATACCGCCTGACCCTCTACAGCGTAGTCGATACAGAAACTAGTATTTTATTATACCAACATACTAAAATACTAGGTTTGGATTTGCTTACTCCATTACGCTGGTCTGGCAGCACTGCCACTGGGCGCACGCTTGAATTTGAATTGCGCGCAATATGACTTTCACGTGCTCAGCACACGCCCACATCGCCGGCCACATGCAAATCAACACATGGCTGGGTGTCGCCCGATCTCTGGGTGTATCCCTCTAATCTCGCCTCAAAGTTCACGGCCCTGCGATCCATGTGTCTGAAACGTGTTGTCGAAATTAAAAGCGAATTTGTTTCTAAGGCAAGGCCATACTCAAGCTGGCAGTAGTAGTACTATTCGTATTATCAGTGGTCAAGTTAGGTAATGTGGACCAACCAGTTTTTGGATTCCATTGTGTCGTCTTGGTCGAGCGATAAACTGGTTTCTACGGCAGATCAGGAGCGTATCTGGGCGCGATGGGCTGGCGCGTGAGAGTGGGTGTGGGAGAGCTGAGACATAAACTGTTATACGTATTTGACCTTGCCGAAGTTTATTTTTGCGGCCCTGGCATTCCCTGCCCTGCCACGCCATCCCCCTCCGCCTTTCCATTGACCTTGCTCAACGCTCCAGCTGACGGAAAGAGAAAGAAGATGTTCCGATATTTTTCTTGAGACCTAAAAGCCAAACCACCCCTCGGCATACCGTTCATCTGAGGCTGGGCCAGGCATTTTTTATGATCTGCTCCGTTTAAAAATGGATTTCGCATTTGTATTCTTGATATTTTTTATGTGTATTTTCCGCGTTTTTCGAGCGTCACGTGAAGTTTATTTACGGCTTGCCGCATGAAATAAGCATTATAATTAATGACTTTTCCTTCTGATCGAAGGCCGGACAGCATCTCTCACTCTCTCTCTCTCTTTCTGTCACCCTCGCTATGTTTTGTGATTTTCACAAATTTTCCACTCTATGTCATTAGCCGCTGCGTCGCTGTCGCTGCATTGACCTCTGGACTGAGGGCAGAGGCTGAGTGGGTTGCGTTTCATCAGACGCTGCTTTGTCGACGTCATCATCATTGACGTCACAGCGCGTGGTCTCCCCCCACACACACACGCGCGCGCACTTAAAGAGTAGGAACATGTAATACAGGAACACACGATAAAATACTCAGAAGAAAATCAATTAGTTTGTATATATTATGTACATACTTATGTACATGTACTACCCAAACGGACAAGCGCAGAGGCAAACCGCACACACATACATAAATATGTATACATAAGTTTATATATGTATACAGCACACTACATATGTATGTATGTATGTGTGTGTGTATGTGTCTTTGTGTGTGACGGGGCGAGCCCCCAAAAACTGGATTCCCGAATACTCTCTGCACAGGCCGCTGCCACCACCAAAAGCAGCCAGCAGGCAGCGACGTCGCCGTCGTCCGCGTATGACAGTTGAAGGTGACACAGGATATGCTCGTAGCACAGTTGTAAGCTGAAGCTTTTCTGACGAAATACTGAGGGCGTGGTTGGCGGAGGGATAGGGATAGGGATTGGGATTCCTGGAATCCCGTCTCTTTCTACTCGTTGAAAGGGGTTGGGATGTGGGGGGGTTCCTGACCATCGTTCAATGTTCAGCCGTTCAAAGGGGCTGACTCATCATGCGATTGCACAGACCTCAGTACCTATTGTATTTGTACTTATCTTTCGTACTACTGCTTATGCACTAGCACCAGGAATAATATAATATAATAACCTATTAACTACTTGGAAAGAAAGTATCCATCAGATACATATTTATTTAGTTTACCCTCTCAGGTATATGTGCAGCGTACGAATTTCTGCTTTGTCAAAATACAATAATGTATTTCCAGCCAGTCGAGTCGAGCCCACCCACACGCCCCCACACACCCTTCTCCACACGAGATTTCCACCAAAACAATTTCCGTCGCTGGCGATAAGAGGTTCCACCAAGAACAACAAAGACCACTCCCCGTCTGGGGGTTTTGTTACCATGTTAATGTACATATGTATATTGTACACACACAAACAGATGTACTTCATGAGTAACGGCACAGAAGGCAGATAAATAACAAATACAATACCACCACCAGAATTGTTACTACCTTAACGCCGCCCACCTTGCATGGAATCCAATCTTTGAAAGCGATATCTCTTTGCACTCTTATAATAGTGATATTGGGATCCGATAATAAACTAATGTACTTGATTGTATGGTATATGGTATGAATCGATGTAGATTCTAGACGGTTCCGATGTACTTTCGGGCAGGCTAAAGAAAGTAAAAAGTTGCAACATTTTCGTGCACTTTCTGGTATCGGCCTCATTCTTTGTTTTGTTATTAACAATTTGGTGTAAACAAATAATTGTTTTGATGGCGAAATAATTCCGAAAGACACGTGCAGCAGCCGCCGAAGGTGAATGGGAAGGGGGGGTGGCGTGAGTGGGTGAGTTGTAGTTGTTGCTCAGACGTCATCTTGCTCTCACGGGCTTAGTCAGAGGAAGGCGTGTGTGAATGGATTGTTGGTGTGTGTGTGTGTGCGTGTTAGGAGGGCTTGTATAACAGTTATAAGGCCACAGAAACGAAACACACGATCGCATGCACTCTCTTTTTCTCTATACATACATACTTGTACAGACATACATACGTACATGGTTATGTGTGTAGTATGTAGTTGTTGCATTAGTTGACGAGCCTCTTGGGGGCCAATGTGAAATGCACCAGAAGGAAAATAATATAATCTGAAGGATAGCAACATGATGGCATGCGGGTCATTGTAATATACCACAGCTCTCATGAAATCCAAACGAATATTCCATATGCATATGTACATACATACATATGTATGCATGTATGAAAATCCAATAAGCAGTAAAGACAACAGCAACAACATTCCATTGAACACCATGAGTGCCTTGGGTGGAGAGAGGGAGAGAATGAACTCAATCAAAGAGAGCCGCTCAGTTGTTGCGCTGGAGCAAGATTTTTGGCACGTACACGACACACACACAACAAAAATTCACTTGTTGGTAGAAGAGGGGGGTTGCGTTGCGCCGACTGCCGGCCCTCGGCAGAGTGCGAGACGAGCCCACGGACAAGAGTGGAAGCAAGAGCAGGAAAATATGTACATACCCAAGCCGGAGGATGTTGACGCGTCCAAATTCCACCAGACTTTCCGTTAGCTCAGTGGGAATGGCAGGGGGGTAGTGCGGTTCGCCCCAGCTATGTAAACTTGTTCTCCCTTGATAGCTCTTTTGAACTGTTATACAACCAAGCAGCCAGCCCAGAAGAGAACATAAAAGCTTGTTTCTGAACGGAGGGAGAGCGGGGACGGACGGCTTAACACGCAGCCAAAAAAACCTTTCGACCATATGCTACATTTGAATGCCCTACAATGCTTTAACTCCATCAATTGGCCAAGCGTCAACGACCCAAGCTTGTAACGATACCAGGGCAGAAGTGGAGCTTTTAATTGCCAGCTAAAGCTCAGCTTAATCGGATTAACATACATATTCATTCCTGAAGAGCAATGACCCTCGAAGCAAATCGTATGTAAATTCAATATAACATACCGCGGTAGGGAACTTACCGTTTTTGCTGACGGCGACAAAAGTAGGCTCTCTCGTGAGAGGCTGAACTAGCTGTGCTGCCAACCTCCCCTTATGGAACTCGGTTTATGCGGCAAAGGTACACACCCAGCTATGTTTTACTGTATTATATTCATATCATCATTAAATAAATATATTTAGCCATAAAGTAAATATTTACAGTAAACTGAATTTAGATTTGATTTGAATATGTGCACAAAAATAGCTTATACATACATCGCAATTATTGAGTAGTTACCGATTCATAACTGAAATGTACTTCTATCTTGAATATTGCTTCAGAGATCACGATGAAGACAACGCATGAACGTAAAGTTGACTCATTCATGGCGCGGCGGCGCATGTATGTACGTGTACTCTGGCGCTTGCTCTGCAGCTCTCTCTCTGCCATATTCCATATCGCTCCCTCGCTACCTAGTCTTCGATATGTGTACATATGTACATATGTTCGTATGTATGTTTGCATGTACATTTGCCATATCTCCAACTAGACCGCCCCAATACTAATTTTCAGTTTTGACCTTCAAGGTTCCTTCACGACGCACACACACAGACACACTCTCTCACATACACATAGCCAGATGCGACGCATTTGTGACGCCAGCAGCGGCAGCGACAGCGACAGCGGCAGAGGCAGCGTAAAGCGAGCAGCGAGCAGCCAGTGGATTTAACTGTGAACAAACTCTCACAGCAACCGGACGCGTGCAGCGGACAAAAATAAAACGGACGGAGAGATCGAGACTCGGAAAGCGGAACAGAAGCAACATAGAAAAAAAACGAAGGAAAACAAAACTAAACTAAAGCAAAGCAAACCAAAACTCAAAAAGTAACAGAAAATACAAAATAATTGCGTTGCATTCGCGAATCGGTTTTGAGTGGATTTTTTGTTGTAGTCCGTGTGTCTCTTGCGCTGTTATTTTTTTTGTTGGTGTGGGTGTAGTGAGACGACTGCCAGAACTGTCCGTTAGAGTGCCGAAAAGATGGACCAGGAGTTGAACGGGGCCATGCGGAGCGTGTCTATAAATAGCAACGGACTGGCGGCCACACCACATCTGAACGGGCACAGCAAAGACGAGGTGGACAATGTGCGGCGGTCGGCGGCGGGGGGAGCATTGAGTGCATCTGCATCGGCCGCCGCCAGCGCCAGCGTTAGCAAAGCGACAAATGCATCGACAGCCGCTGCAGCGGCCAGAGCAATCCCAGCGGCGGCATCGTCCGCATCCACAGCCACAGAAGCAGCGTCGTTGTCGGGTCTAGCCGGGGCCAGTGAGGCGGAGAAAAAGAAAATGGTGTACGAGTTATGTCAGCAGCTTCTGCTCACAGACGAGCAGGTGCAGGAGCTGTGCTACCGCATCCTGCACGAGATTCGCCGCGGCCTGGCCAAGGACACGCACCCGAAGGCGAATGTCAAGTGCTTCGTGACCTACGTGCAGGACCTGCCCAACGGGAACGAGCGCGGCAAGTTCCTAGCCCTTGACCTCGGCGGCACCAACTTCCGGGTGCTGCTGATCCACCTGCAGGAAAACAACGACTTCCAGATGGAGTCCCGCATCTACGCGATACCCCAGCACATCATGATCGGCTCGGGCACGCAGCTATTCGATCACATCGCCGAGTGCCTCTCCAACTTCATGGCCGAGCACAATGTGTATGCGGAGCGACTGCCTCTCGGCTTCACCTTCTCGTTCCCGCTGCGCCAGTTGGGCCTCACCCGCGGCCTTCTAGAGACATGGACCAAGGGCTTCAACTGCGCCGGCGTCGTCAACGAGGATGTGGTGCAGCTGCTGAAGGACGCGATTGCGCGGCGCGGCGACGTACAGATCGACGTCTGCGCCATCCTCAACGACACCACTGGCACCCTGATGAGCTGCGCCTGGAAGAACCACAACTGCAAAATCGGTCTTATTGTCGGCACCGGTTCGAATGCCTGCTATGTGGAGCGGGTTGAGGAGGCGGAGAACTTCAATTCCGAGGGCAACAGCAAGCCCCATGTGCTCATCAACACCGAGTGGGGGGCGTTCGGGGACAATGGCGCCCTCGACTTTGTGCGCACCGAGTTCGATCAGGACATCGACAGCCACAGCATTAATCCCGGCAAGCAGACCTTCGAGAAGATGATCTCCGGCATGTACATGGGCGAGCTGGTGCGCCTCGTTCTTGTCAAAATGACGCGCGCCGGCATCCTGTTCAAGGGCCAGGACTCCGAGGTGCTAAACACGCGCGGCCTCTTCTTCACCAAGTACGTGAGCGAGATCGAGGCGGACGAGCCTGGCACCTTCACCAACTGCCGCCTAGTGCTCGAGGAGCTGGGCCTGACCAATGCCACCGACGGCGACTGTGCCAACGTGCGCTACATCTGCGAGTGCGTCTCAAAGCGAGCCGCCCACCTCGTCTCTGCCGGCATTGCAACGCTGATAAACAAGATGGACGAGCCCTCTGTGACGGTGGGCGTTGACGGCAGTGTTTACCGCTTCCATCCCAAGTTCCATAATCTGATGGTCGAGAAGATCTCGCAGCTGATCAAGCCCGGCATCACCTTTGACCTCATGCTCTCCGAGGATGGCTCCGGCCGTGGAGCAGCGCTCGTAGCGGCCGTCGCCTGTCGCGAGGATATACTCAACAGCAAGTAGGCGAGATACCGGAGAAAGCGAGAGAGAGAGAGAGAGAGAGCAGTGGTCTATGCTCCGAAACTGCTGCATCCGTCGGCATCATTGGCATCCTAGACATGTCCGGGTCGCCCCCATAACAACTACAACAACAAGAGCAAGAGCCAGCAGCAATTTCCGATTTGCAAATGAGAAAATAGTTTCCTTCGTTGCCCGACACAGGGCGCCCTGGGGCTGGGCCTCCGGCCCGTCACTGCCGCCACGTGTCGGCACCTCCCCCATGACCCAGGGCTGCGGTGCGCGCTTCTTTAGTATTTTTAATTAGGCGAAAAGAAAAGAAAAATACGGTTTTAAACAGAAAAAAACACCGAAAAAAAAAACATAAAAACAAAAACCAAAATTATCTTATAATGATAATGAATGCTTACGATTATGTTCGTTCTATCTCCTTCGCTCCAATTGGATCGATTTCCGATTTTTTTTGTTGAAAATTTGTTATATCTATTTTACAAAAGAGAATATACACACACCCACATATATATATTTACATATATGTGAATAGTACAATTTGTTAAGAGAATTTCTTTTCGTTTTCGAGAAAAAAAAAACACAACATTTGGTAACCCCCTCCCCACCCACACACAAACATAGAGAAAGAGGGAGAGGGCGATACTTACGTGTAAGATGCTGAGAAGAGAACGAACCGTTATACCACTGTGCTACAAGCATATCCTACGGCGCAAGCAGAATGGGACGAAGAGGACAGGATGATGGAAAACCGAATGAGAAACTGTAAAGTCGCACACTGTTAAAGCAAAAAGAAAAGAAATGAAAAAAACAACAACAACCAAGAAAGAAATAGAGGGCAGCAAACAAAAACAAAGGCGAATTCTGCGACATACAAAAAATACTAAAAAAGAGAGAAGAACACCCCACCGAGGTGTCCTTCTCCTGTAATTGTAAATGTTTATATAGGACCTATTATGAAGCGTTATATGATAATACTTGCATACACACACACATATACATATTTATATATATATATAAATATACATATATTATTTAGCCACTATATAATTACGTTATTTTTTTTTTTTTTAATATTGTCTTCGTTTAGTAAAATTGGTTTCTAAGATTTAAGAAGGTAAAAACTAATCAAAAATATATTATGTTTTTTTTTCGTTCGATCTAGAAACGCACTTTGTGAGCTATTATTTATGTAATTGTACATTTGTGACCTAGTTTAGTGTTTAGTTTTTATCGTAGTTTCTAAATGTTGTCGAAAAAGTCCCGCAATAGCCTCCCAATTCTACCCACATATTATATGTACATACATACATACTTATGTACATCCCCGTCCCCAGCAACCCACGGAATCCCTTAACTATACTTAATTATCGTTTGTAAACAATAGCGGGTGGATGCGAAATGCAAAAGAAAGAGAAACAAAAGGCGAATAAGCAAAATGAAAAGCAAATAAAATTTGTTCCTTATTCATGAACTCTTTTTAAATAATAATTTCTTTGTAATTTGTTTGGTATTCTTTTCATTCTTTGTGTGGTATTTTCTAGTATTTTGTTATAGTTTTCGTATTTTGTAACTAGCAGTTTTGGCGGCTGCTGGCCGGCATGCTCAGACGACAACAAAAACAATTCGCAATCAAAGCAAAACAAAGACACGACTTTTTTTTGTCTATTTTTAATAAACAATGAAAAATACTATGAACATACGTTGATGATATGATATAAAAAATAAATCAGCAAATAGATTGTTTATATTTTTCAACAAGAGATTGTAAAAAAAACGTAGCCCCTGTTAAAAAAAAAAATTTAAATCAATTTAAATTATAGTTATCAAAGGCGATTACACAAAAAATACTACGAAAATACATAAAACAGACACATGCTTTGCAACATGCTGCAATTGTTGCTGCAATCAAAAGGAAAGCCAGATGAAAAGGAACAACTTAGGAAATGATATTATTAACAAAAGGAATGTTTGTCAAAAATGCAGAAAAGGATTTCGAAGAGCAAGAAAATAAAAACGATTGAACCAACAAAAATTAAAGTCGAAAGAAATATTTTCTTTGGGGGTATACAAAAAAATCTACAAACTTTACACATTTTTTAAATTTTATTGTTGATTTATTCACTTGGAATTGAAAAAGACGAGGTGTACATATGTTGTATATTTCTTTTTTTGCTGGTATGACAAAGTATGACAGACAAGAAACAGGAATTATGCATCATCAGAGGCAATAACAATCAGTCTCTATTTTATTATTTATATTGCATTACGCTGCCAATGCACTCCCAGGCATACCCTGCACGGGATGAGGCATTCGCACAATGCTAGGAGGTTCGTGATGCCGAAAAGTTCTGCAGCTCCCAGCAGAAATTATGTAGAATTATGGTGGTCTTGGGCAGGCAAGTGTGTCTTGTCTCACTACTTAATATCATTAGTTTTATTAATTTATCTGAAATTCTGTATCGGTCAAGCTCTTTTTTTAATTGATTTTTTTCTGGGATACCGATGAACGTTTTTTTAATGGATAGCGTATTCTACGTTACTCCAATTAATTGATAATACATTGGACACAACAATATGCCGATTAGCTTTAACTTTTTTTCTACATTTAGTTAATCTTCTCGGTCTTAGGGTACTTCCAGTGTGGCATCGCTGCTTACGACTTTGCTTTGCTGCTTTAAATTGAGTGATTTTGAGCTTAATTTTCGTTTGACGCATTTGAATTGCAAGTAGTGGGATACATACATACATATACATACCGAGACCAGACAAAGCTTGATTGAGCCATTCAACGTATATGACAGATCGAATTGAACAGAGAGTTGTTGTTGGAACAGAACCATGAGTACTACTATGTGTGCAAAGTCACACAGTTTTTTTTGCTATTAATGCCATATGACACTCACTTTAAATTCGATGGATCAAATTGCATGGTGCGAAAGGGAGCAATAAACATCAATATCGAATTCCTACAATATTAAACAGCAAAGAATTAAAGAAGAAAAATTATATTTATTCTGACATGCGATATTTTAATTTGGTAAGCCGAAGAAAAATTGACGAATGACCATATGCACATACATATGTATGTATGGTATGGTATGTATGTACATCTGTACAGTGTCCAAGAGGCGTATTTAGCTGTTCCAGCAAATGTCATATGGGCATAAATAAGCAACCTGCTCAAATTTCTCTGTAAATATGATATATTATTTACATACATATGTATGTACAGATATACATACATATGTATATAGTATTTGTGGTCTGAACGAGTGCAGTTGGCAGCTAGCCTGTATTTGTTCAATTTGCGATTGAGGCAAAAGCACGGCTCAAGTTCCGCGAAAGTTGTTTTTAGAATTTCAAATGAAACATCTCTTATGTCGGTACCCCTTTCTGCCACCACCGTCCCTTTCTCCAGTCTGTTTATTCAAATAGAACAGAATGCATTTTTATTGTTGGCGAGACACACAGAGAGAAACAGAGAGAGAGAGAGAGAGAGAGAGAGAGAGAGAGAGAGAGAATAAGTGCGATAGTGTAATCTCAGCTATTTCTCGATCACGTTTTACTGAAAGCGGACAACAAAACCAATTTAAATATCTCGAATGCAAATTTCAATTTAAAATGCACATGATACCCACCGAGTATCTATGTATGTGTGGGGAAAATAGGGGTGGGTGGGAAACCCTAAATGGGAACTAAATTGGAGATACCCTATGGGGATTTTAATACATAAAACCAAACCAATTTTGTCCATTAAAGCACTCACAGTCGCGCACACTTGGAAAGAGTCTGAAAGAAATATTTTTTTACAAATGAATGAACCATATATGTAGAATCAGTAAATTCCCCAGTAGAACTCTCCCCATTAAAATCCGAATCTTGTACCCTCATATTATCTCAAATTGCGCATACGCCGGGGTTTTCCGAGAGATTTTAATTCGGAATATAATTTTTTTACATATTTCAATGTACAATAAAGTCAAATTAGCCCCACTTTCCCTTCTTACAACTAGTATAATGACATCTAAAATAGCTTTTCACTGGAAAGGTCGGTGGGGTGGTGGGGGATCGCGTATGGGAAGAAAGCCTTATCACAGGATTTCATGATTACATGGAAAGCCGCACGAGTCTCTCTGATAAGCCACGAGTGAGGCTGATAGAGTCGCAAAGGGTTAATAGGTATTACAGGCTTGGGCAAGTAAGTGTTAAGTGGTGCTAAGTGGGGTGAAGAGGGGTTATTGGAATAATGGCAAGACTGAGTGATAAGATTTTCAAATCGGGAATACTTATTGAAGGAGGCTTGGCAAAAAAGGCAAAATAATCTTGATTTTCCTGGATTATAGTACGAGTGTATTAGTATACTCTCTAAGTTCCCTAGATTTTGATTGCTGATACTGTAGGGGGTATAAATATTTAAAGCTACTAAGGCTCTCGTAATTGTATGTACCCAAGTGATCTATTTATTCAAAAAAGTTTTTTAAAAAACAAAACGAGAACGAGAGATTTTTCTTTTATTTTTGAAAATATTAAGTTATCGCAAATTCCTTCAGTTATGAATAAATTTATTTATATATGCATACACGTGCATACATAAATATATGAATACTATATATGTAAATATGTATTTATATACTATGTACATAAATATGTCATACGTCATTGTATCAGTTTATAGGCGTTGAACAAGCCCCAGCAGTTTTCGACCATAGTGCGTCAGTCGAGGACCGGACTGCTATTTATCACAGAAAACAACAAAACAACAAAATAGATACAAAAACAAAAATTATTTTCAACATTTTAGAAAAGGCTTTGACAGATTGTTGTTGTCGGAATTTTCGCGTTAATTTTGCCTCAATTTTACAAAAAAATGCTTTGTATTTTTGTATGAAACTAAAAATTGTTGAAAGCGTTTATTTTTAGTGTTTTTTTATCCGCAAAAAGAAATACATAGCTGTGGGTAGGGAGAGAGCTGAGTGGACTATGCTATGAATCCAAAACAAAATACGCAATAACAAAAAAACAAACCCAACAACAACAGCAATAACAGCAACAACATCAAAACATATGCCAAACGAGAGAGAGGGTCACCACACCGAACGAGAGCAGCAGAGCGGAAGAATGGGTGAGGTGAAGGTGAGCGGCAGAGCGGCAGAGCGGAGTGCAGAAATTTACAGTTGATAGACAGACAACAAATTTGCTCATTTGAACTTGTGTCGTTCTCTTTCTCTCTGCCGCTCACCTTCGGCTGGCACTTACCTCGTGCCTCTTCCACCAACAGACAGTCAGACTCGATCAAGGTATCAGTCCGAGAGTACAATCATAAGAAGTTAATGCAGTTCCGCTCTCTCTTCCGCTATACACGTGTCAAGCAGCAAAGAGCGCGCTGTGTGTTTTGCAATATCCGTGCACACCCCACCCCCATGTGTAGGATAATGACCTCGGCAATTAAAAACCTTCTAAATAAAAAAAACCCCGGACTCGAGTTCATTATCTACCATTCTCTTCTGCTCCTGTTTCATCGGCCTCTGTTGCTGCTTGGTCCTTCTCCTTCTCGTATTCATCTGACTCGCCATTTCTTGTTTTGTTGTTATGCAAATGCTAAACTGTGAAAAGCATTTCAAACGACAACAAAATGCATTTTTCGAAAGTGTGAAATGGAAATGCAAAGCAAGCGTAAACGAAAATCATGTGAGGTGCCAAGAGCAACAACAACAACAGCAGCAGCAACAACAGCAACAGCAACAGCTGTTCTGTACTCGCAACAACACTCTCCTCTCCCCTGCACTCCTTGCCCAATCATATGCAAAAGCGTGTTGGCTGCTCTATCTTTGCTTAGGGTATCATGACTTTGATCAGAGGGAAACCTCATCAATCCCATAAAGTACACATGAGACATATCAACATTCGATTCATCTCGGCTAGAAAAGCCGTTCGGCTATGTTATACATACATACATACATATGTATGCCTTGACGGGTTTGCCTTCGGAAGCTGTCCGCCCATAAAACTTTCACATGCGGATACATGCAAGCACGAATCGAAAATAACAGCAATCCAGCAGACTTAAAACTAGTTTAGACACATGCAGTGCAGTGCACATACAATTGCAACATCAACAGTAAATTGCCGGAAGAAGTAAATGCGGTACTAGTGTTCAGTCGGGGTAAGGAAGAGGAGGAGCGTCTAACAGACTGCCCAGTGGGCAATCTATGAGCAAAGTTTTGTTGTTTCTGTCATCTTCGGCTATCGTTTTACAAACGCAAAAATTTAATTTCCTTAATTTCTGAAATTTTAGAATTTTAAGAGTATTAAAACTTTTTGCTACTCAAACTTAATAGAATATTTTATATGTATGTATTTAATTTCCTTTATAATTGACTCTTGATATACATATTTGGATGATAACATAAACATTTTGTATTATTCTGCATTAGAGTATTTATGAAGCACGGTGCAAATGATTTTATATTTTCTTTTTCTTATCCTAAGTATTTTTAATCCACAGTTGCTCATTTTTTCTCACGTACGAGTACAAATTTCCTGTCTTAGCGATACAAGAGATCTGATAACGGAAATTTTTATCAGAATCTTTGAAAATGTTCATTCCACGCAAGTATAACTTAATTAACACGGAACTGCTAACAATAGTTAAGAGTGGGATGAGCAGAGGCCGTAGAACTGGTATCATATCGATTATTTGACATATTATGGTTTAAAAACTATCAGTTTGGCTTAGTTCCAGGAAAGATAAATATGTATGTACTCTAATCTAAGCTTCAAGCTCAAATAAAGTTTTGCTACGTTCTCAAGTTATCGGTTAATATGAATGAACTTCCTTGAACCTGTTATTTCTTAATAGATTGCCTATCTGTGTACATTTTATCGTTGATATCAAATCTTATCGCCGACTCTATTATCCTATTACTAATACTACTCTTTTACTATCCAGATAAAAGAAATAAAGATTGCTGAAGCTTTATCGGAATGGTCTATCTGTGTATTTGATATACACTTAGCATTTACGAATAAAGA